GTTCACATACTTTTAAATGTTGTTTCCCAGTGGTTAGTATTCACGACCCACCTAACTGTATAAATAAGTATTGTCTGTAAAGTTTTATGCTCCTCTTCTTCTTCCTCTGTACAGCACCTCATATATTCTGGATGCTTGTAGTAGAATATACTTTCAACGCCATATCAAGACTGATACCATTAGTGGGGGCTTGAGACTCTCGGATTAGAGTTACCTATCATGTCACTGGATCATTTGTCTTAGATCTTGTTTACCGAGTAAGGTGAACTATAAATAGTTCAAACATATCAATTGACAAGCATATCATTGTTTTCAGTTTAATAGAGAGTTATTAATGAACTAAATATTTTAGTATTAACCTTACTGATTAATTTTTTTTATTAAGAGTGAGTCAAAATCTCTAGGTGAGTAGTATATTGTTTATTTTTATAAAAAAGAATGTATTCAAAGTTAGTGAATACATCCTTTATAAACTTTTAAGACAATATATTTAAACAATCTCATTTTTATATCACAGTTTGAAAAAACTTGATCAATAGGATTTATTCAGCATGATAGTGATTCTTACTAGATGACCAATCAATTGTGAATAATCTTCCGTCATAAGTGAATTCAGTAGCAGCTCTAGCGCTTAAGTGATAACGAATTTCACTGGGTGATGTAGGATCGAATCGGCAAACGAGTATCAATTCTCTTAAGATTTTAAATGCGAAATAGCATGAAACCTAGATTGAGGATTTCGTATAATTATCTCAAGTTATCGTCTTACATATGTAGAACATATCCAAGGATTAACATCGAACCATCTAACTGAAAATCAAATATTGGTACTTATAATTTACTTTATGAAATCTTTATCGAGTAGCTTTTTCTCAAATCTCTCTCTCTACCCTAGTATTTTGAAAAATGCACTCCTGTTATCTTGAATTTAATTGAACGTTTTACCAGCTTTAATCATTCGTCATAATCCGAGGGATTATCACTCATACCTCATGCTCCCATAATGATGTCTTATAGAATAGAGCGACTTAAACCAGTGTTTATACTGCAACTCAATCTGTCAACTGTAAGGATCAATTAAAATCTATTATTAGTCATGCGTTACGTATGCCTAACCGCCATCTGCCTCGTCGAGCTATGCTTTGCGATGTAGGAATAGGTTGGGAGAAAGCTAGAATCGACCAAACCAAAACATGGCAAAAATCCATGAAGTCACTGACAACTAAATTGAGTCATGTTGGTAGATGTAGGCTACCTGGTTGGGGTCTGCGAGACGAAAGTCACCGAGACCTTGAATGACATGACTCAAAATTGTTTGAAATGATGCAGGTGCATTCATTCTTCGTGTTCTCCCAAATTCTAACCTTCTTAATTCCTTATCACCTCTGTCCTTTTCTTTATAAATTTATTTCATTGATATATACTTATGGAATAATTTCTTCGAGCCCCAATCTTCCCAATCACCGTTAATACTTCTACTGTCTCTACTACTATGGGATATGAAGTGATAATTGTATCTCTGTGCTAATGTGATATGGAAACTTGAACTGATGTACATACGTACGAAGTTCTATATTGTCGTTGACTGACTTTGACTCAGTATGATTAAAAATTATGATATTCATAAGCTAACAACATTGAAATCTTTAAAGGTAGTTATTGAAACAATCTTGTTTCAGAAATCTCTGAAATACAAGCATTATCATCACATTAATTGAAATGTTTTGTTATTATTTTTAGGGTCTTTTAATCGAAAAAGTCCGTTCTGAACATGCTGGTCGATATCGTTGTTCAGCAAATAATGAAGCTGGTTTTCAGAATGCTGTTGTTAGTCTAGAAGTTTTAAGTAAGTGTGTTTAGATTTTTGGACAAGTTTTTTATCAATTTTATCAATGATATCTTGATGCCATTAACTGAACCAGATGAAAGTAATTCGAAGACAAATGAAAAAGTATAAAATGAATTGAAACTTTTTTCATCATCGACAGGAATGAATATTAGCTGGATGTTTATGTCGACCATGTTGACTAGGATGAATAAATTTCTTCGAAATTATAAACCGATCATTGTTAGACTATCATTGGAAATCTGGAAGCACTGAAAGATGGCAGTTCTCATCTAGTATGTGACTCATCAGCAGTGTGCATCCATGACTCCCGCTTGGTGGAATTCAACCTAGCACCTCGTGAAGGCTTAATAAATGAATGTATCGGTTAATATATTTTTTTTTTACGCACTGATTATAATGATTCCCGTATATTGCGAATTAAAATTCATATTACTTTAAAACTTTTTAAGTAGTATAATTTAAATCGAGAATATTTGGAATCGATTAATGAACATATTGAATAAGTTTTATCGTTTGAAAATTCCATGTTTTTTAATGATTTGCTCCCTTTTTTTTCATGACCATCTAGTTCCACCAACATTAGTTAAACCTGCTAATTTAGAAGTATCTGGTCGATTGAATTCTGTGCTACGATTGAATTGTGAAGTTGAAAGTGGATCACCAACGCCTATTTTAACTTGGGAACGTGATGGTGTAATATTTAGTCGAACTAAGAGTTATTATACTACTACAGAGTCTGGTTTATTTATATTTAATTCATTAAAGTAAGTGATTATCAATAAAATTTGTGCACTACAGTTTTATATTGAAATTATGAATAAAATCATTGTTAGATCACTTTTTAAAACCTGAAAGCACTGAAAGGAGGCTATTTCGTTCTATTGTGGGACTCCTCAGCAGTACAAAAGTTTAACTTCTGGATCACCAACATGTAACGTGTTAATGTCTAAATCTGATTAATTTATGGATTTTACGCAACCTCAATCATTGTCTTGGGTAGGTGACTGCCCACACTCCACACAGAGTTGAACTCCATTAATCACAGATTCTCACTAGAACTTGAAGAATTTCTTCATGAAGTTATGCCTTAGTGATCATATTTTATGATATCCGCATTATAGAAATTCTAGAGATCATTTTTTGACATTGAAATCATGAATGAATCATTGATAGCTACAGTTTTTATTCTAAATATGAAATACTGTGATAATGGGAACAGTTTAGTTTATTATCATGAATCAATTGATCTGATTAACTGATTAATTTTATGTTACAAACTATAAGTATTGAGAATAATCTCTACTGAATTCAACTATGTACACTATTAATATGATTATGCAATAAACGCCATTGTCAATGTCGTAGAGTGTTTTCTGTTGTGGTGGTGTTTCGTTCTCTGAGCTGGATGTTTTCGTTGTGGAGTTTTCATTGTTATTCTTCTTCTGAAATCATCATCATCAGCACAAACTTCAGATATAAGTGAAGCATTCGAATTTCTCCACGTTTGACCTGTAGCTTCTTCTGTTAACTTCGATTCTGATTAGTTGCTGTTGATTTTAAACCTGTCGTTGTTTGCAACTTTGTTTTGATTGTATCCCCATTTTGATCAGTTTCTTGATCCAATGTCACCTATGATTTTTCTGATTGGTTGATAAATTGGGTCAGAGTCGATGTGTTTGTTGATTGCTGATTGATCTGATTGCGTTCGATTGGAACAATGTGGAAATACTGGATAAGGGGAGCAAAAAGAACACAAGAGAAATTTTAGAAGCTTGGCACTCACACGTCAATCAGCTACCAACAAACACATCAACATTGATCCAATTTATCATCCAATCAGGAAAATCATAGGTGACATGGGATCATGAAACAGATCAAAAGCGGGGATACAATCAAAACAAAGGTGCGAACAACGGCAGACCTTATGTCAGCAGTAGCCTATCAAGATCGAGGTTAGCAGAACAAGCTATGTTTATTTCAGCAGAAGAAGAACAATGAAAGCTCCACAGCCCAAAACATAAAGCTCAGAGAACGAAACACCACCACAATCATCCACCTGAGCTACAAATTTTCTCCACCATCTCAAGTATTTTCTGTACAATGCATATAGTTATAGTCATTTATTCAGTCTATTAACATCGTTCATCACCTTGCTATTACTATACTGATGTATGATTGAGGAAGGTTAATTTCAATCCAATTATGTGTATAAAAATGTTCAGTAAATCAGTTTAGCTCAGAATGTTGAGGCCTTAGACCATAGAGTTTTATATTGTCTTCGGTGAACTATTTGTTCTGGTTAGGGTTTTTCTTAACAAACTAGATTTCTACGGGATAGAGTCGCTAACCTCATGACAAACCCTCCTTCTTCATCCTGGCTTGGGACCGGCAGTTACCCTAAAAGGGGCTCCAGGTGGAGTTATATGATCTTTGACTGATTCAAATAGTTAGAAAAAGTTTAAACTAATAAAAAAAATACTAAGTTATTGCTTTCTGACAGTCATAGGGTTGGTAGATCTCAACTCATCAGAAGCACTTTTGATTAGATTAGACTGTGTTTTATAAAAGGGGTACTGATTTAAAGTGATCATGAAGAGACAAGAAGACTGTTTGTTTTAGTGGCTTATAAAGTAATTTAATCACAATTATAAATTTAATTTACTTTACTGTAACCGTAATGTGAACAAAATTGAGCTAAGAACTCTACCTTAACTTTTAACAACTGACCCTAGTCTTGTTGCATCATATCTAGTCTTATTTGCTGACGAAATCTCTGTGAATCAATAATTACACTAGTCTAACTTTTAATAGGTGAACTTAACCTTTTCTTTCCACCACAAGGAATAATCCAACATGTGAAAATTGATATTTCACATCCAAACTCTTATTCCAGTGAAATTTTAATGGCTTATAGTTGTTAATGCTTTCATGACTAGTCAATGTTTCCTGACTAGCAGACAAACTGTTCAAGGTCATCTGTATATATATCTGTATACATTTCCTTTTATAATTTCTGTTATATGGTAATTCGTTATATAAATATATATAATTTTTTTGTAAATAAAGGCCAGAAGATGAAGGAGAACTTACATGTATCGCTAAGAATGCAGCTGGTGAAGACCGTATTACTTTTCGTGTATTTGTTCAAGGTGAGTGACATTAGCTGGCAGTGATAATGCTCTTTTAATGTATGACAGATATAGAATGTTTCACATCAGAATTCCACTGATCACGATTTATCAATAGAACTCGGAGAAACATCATCTCGGAATTAGTCACTAGTGAGCATATTTGATAATTTGGCATGATAGAGTTGTGGAGCTTCTTGAGTTACTTTTTGAAATGGCCTTTTCGTCCTGGTATGGGATTCATCAAAAATTGCACCACCACGACTTCATCAACTAGTAGGATTCGAATCTAGGACCTTCGGTTGTGCGCGCAAACTCCTAACCTCTGGGACACTGAGCTGATATCTTATGGTGTCAATGTTTAACTGCACAAGACCGTGAATCGATCGACGTTAGACATTAACATTCGCGCGCAAGACTGAAGGTCCTGGATTCGAATCCTGCCAGTTGCGGGAGTCGTGGAAGCACACTCTTGATGTGTCCCATACCAGGGCGAAACTGCTGTCGATCAGTGCCTTCAGGTTTCTAACATAGATGGATTCATGATTACGAAAAGTAACTCAACACTCTGCACAATCCTATCAGGCAAAAGATGCTTATAATCAAAGTCAATTCACGTTAAAATTGTTATTTTATGTGAACTTAGGCTAACCCATGAAATATTTTATAGACTGTCTAAAGACTTATTTGTAAAAATATATAAACTAGAAAATTGGTAAGCCACTAGCTTATATAATACTTATATACGTACATGCACAACTTATTGCAACCTATGCCGTTCTTGGTAATATGTTAACTTTACTTTAGAAGTTAACTAAAACAAAGACTTTTAATTAGACATTAGATAAATAGTGAAAAGTATGATATGAACTACCTTTTACCCTAATGCGTGTAAAAATCTACATATTCGATCTGAAAATTCGCGTAATAAATCAATCAATTACTTACCTACTTACGCCTGTTACCCTCAACGAAGCTTACGGCCGCCGAAAAGCATTATCCAACCTACTCTGTCCTCAGCCTTCTATTCCAGTTCTATCCAATTGTGGTTCATTCTTCTCATGTTTGTCTCTATTTCTCGGCAAAATTTATTCTTCGGTCTTCTTTTTTTTCCTCTGACCTTGAGGGTTTGAAGTAAGGGCTTGTCTTGTGATGAAGTTAGGTGCTTTCTTCAATGTATGTCCTATAAACTTGCAAATAAATTTTGTAAACAATACCTATTTGTTAAGGAGAAAATGGATAGTAAATGAGATTGTTAGTTTAATTTACAATTAGGTTGAAATAGATGTGTATGATTCTAACAAGATCTCTCGTTGAAATTACAATAAAAATCTATCTGTGGTGGTTGTGTTTGGTTCTCTGAGCTGGATGTTTTAGTTGTTGGGCTTTCATTGGTCTTCTGAACAACAAACTTCTATCTGAAGTTTGTGCTGATGATGTTGTTCAGAAAAACAATGAAAGCTCCACAACCAAAACATCCAGCTCAGAGAATCAAACACAACCAACAGAATCATCTATTTGAGCTAAAAATCTTCTCCACCATCACAAATCTATCTCGTATGCATTATTTACTTATTTACTTACTCCTATTTACTTACTCTATCAATATTTATGAAAGTGATTAACTGTTTTGAGTATGAATTGGAAGTTTGTATGGGATGAATTTACTAAGAGTAAATACAGATTCCTACAGATTCCCATTGTGAAAATTAGAACAACACCGATATAAGCAAACAATATTGTTGTTTTCGATTAGATCGTGATCATGATTTATTGTCTAATATACATGAATATTTATTTGAAAATGTTAAACCGATTAAGGCAATTTGAGTCAATAATCACGAAGAAATGAAGTAGAGATTACGTCACTACACACATCATAGGCAAAAGTACAAGTTGATCACTGTAGGACGCCACAGGTGTACGGATAGTAGTTGTAAGAAAACGATAACAAAAGTTTTATCAATAGTAGGTCAAGCGTGAATATAACAACATTTAAAATAATCATTACAAAAACATTAAAACCATTACGCGTAATAAGAAGTGTGTACATAATTATTAGATAGTGAAGAAGAATATAAACGGAAAGAGGCAGAGAATTACCAACAACAAATACAGGATGTGAAAATAATACTGCTAATATTAACAAAATGAAATTTAAATCTTAAATCGTTAGCTACTTCATATCCGTCCACGGAAGAGATGCGGGTGTCACGAATTTCTTCTGATGGTAACTACCAAAGACACATGGGTGAGGTCGGGCAAAATCACTAGATCAATCAGAGTTAGACATTAACACCGTTGGATGCCGGCCCAGTGGTCCGATGGTTAGGCGTTCGCTCACAATACCGAATGTCCCAGGTTCGAATCCTGAGAGGTGCAGGGGTCGTGGATGCACACTTCTGATGAGTCCCATACCAGGAGGAGACGGCCGTGTAGTGCTCTCCAAAACTCTGCCCGAAAGTATAAATTGGGGTTGAATGTACGAATTCCAATGGCTTCTGCTATATGTAGGAGACGGGATCTAACTCCTTTGGGAAATGATGCCGGTATACCATAAATCACTCGAAATAATCCAGACCGCTACCAATTAGATGTGTAAAGATTGAACTGCGTGTCGTTGTTATCTGGCCCTTTCTAAACCATGCTGGGAGATGTTCATTCATTCGCTGATAGTACACCCGATAATTGACTTATAAATTGCATTGATTAGTTTTAAACATTTTCATATAAATATATTCATGTCTGTTAGAGTAAAAAGCGTGATGACGATCTCTAATCAAAAACAATAATATTGTTCGCTTATTCTCGGTGTTGTTCTACTGTTTAATTCACTAAAAATTACCTTTTCTCATGAACGTTAAAATCTACATCAAAATGCGCATTCTCTATTTCTGTTCTGTTCTGTTCTGTTTTTATTTTCACAGTGCCACCACGTGTCTCTTTGCCAATTTCTACAATTGGTTATGAGGGTAAATCAATTACAATAACTTGTGAAGCTGATGGTCGACCGAAACCTGAAATTATCTGGGAATTCAAAGGACAACCAATGATTAATCATTTGGGTGATCGTGTACAATTTGAAACACCAACAAAAGTTACTATACATGATTTAACTGTAAGTAATAAGTAGGGTTTTCATTTTTTTAATTGATCAATTTTAAATATTTTATATGTTCAAATTACATCGACTTAGTTTAGGTCAACTCCTTCAGTTAGTCAGTTAGTTGGCTACCATGTAGAGAACTTCGTACTTACTTACGTACATAAATTTAAGTTACCATATCATACTGGCACAGAGGTGTAGTTGTCAATTCAAATCCCATAGTAGTAGAGGTAATACCAGTATCAGTAGTAATCGGAGAGATTAGAGTTGGAAGAAATTATTCAAGAAGTATAATTCAGCGAGATAAATTTAGAAAGAGAAAGATAGAGGTGATGAGGAATACGGAAGATCACAATTTGCGAGAACACAAAGAACGGATGCACCTGCGTCATTACAAACGATTTTGAACCGTGTCATTCAAAGTCTCTAACCATCGATTACTATCATCTCGTGGACCCTAACTGTCGGATCCAAACTGGGGTTTGGATAGAGGGATAACTGTCCAGGTAGTTTAGATACACGCCTTGCCCAGTTGAGACCACATAAAGATAATATTTCGTTGCTTTATAACATAGAGTGATTCCTATTCTGGAAGAGTGCTTAAATTCACAATCAAAATGCACAATTCCAGTCAGTAGCAAGCAGTCCAATCAAAAGAGGAACAAACCAGTATGGCTGTCGCCATAATTAAGTATCAGCTTACACAATATAACTGCAGTTCATAAAGAAACATAGAAACTCCGTAAAGGAAAATGAAATATAAACTATAACAGAATACAAATAGTACCATCTCCGAAATGGAATCAAACAGATTAACAAAATGTACAACTGAATGAATCAAATGTATACATGGAGGGATTTTCACAAACAAAGCCTTCAAATGTGGTTCTTTCACTAACCAAGTAGTTTACATCTACCAACATGGTATTGGTATAGTCTGTTTACAGTGACTTTAGTCTTTTTGAATAGAGAACATTTGTTTTGCTTAAACAAGTTTGATTTCTACAAAAGCATATATGAAAAAAGGATTATTTTAGATAAAAACGTCAGTAAATGAAAACTATTTCATTTTCACCGAAATAGATCATCGTGATTAGCTACTTAAAATCATCCTAAATGAAAGGGTCTATACCAATTTCGATACATCGAAGACACTAGAAAATTCATTTCCAGTGTCAGTTAAATGAGCAGGTTTCATGTTAACACCAAAGTTTCTCTGAAATCGTTAAGTAAAGTGACAGTGGATATATTCAGTCACCATTCTTATAACAATTTAAAAGAATGTTTTCAAGTTTGTTTAATAATTTATGAGTAACACCCGCCTTTTAACAATTCTTTCGCAGTTTGGTTTTTGTTAAGATTTATCATACATAATGAGAAGTCTGTTTGCATGTCAATTCATTATTTATTACACATTTGAAATCATCAATCGATCATTGTTAGACCACCATTAGAAACCTGGAAGCACTGAAAGACGGCCGTTTCGTCCTGGCATGGAACTCATCGGCAGTGCGCATTCACGACTCCTACATCTCACAGGAATCGAACTCGGGGCCTTCAGTATTGTGCGCGAACGCCTAACCATCGGACCATTAGGCCGGCATCCAACGGTGTTAATGTCTAACTCTGATTGATCTACGGATTTTGCGAACTGCTGGTGAGTCCCATACCAGGACGAAACGGCCGTCCTTCAGCGCTTCCAGGTTTCTAATGGTGGTCTAACAATGATTGCTTGATGATTTCAAATGTGTAGAAACACAAATCTCCAAAATTCTAACTGAAAATAGCATTATTTATTAATCATTAAACTGTCAATGTTCAATGAAAATGCCAAAAGAATGCAGCTCCTCTTTTAAAGTTCATTTGATAATTTTATGAGATATTTTAAGTAAATACCTGCTGTATAACAATTTATTTTCATCTACTATTGAAAATTCTGATTTATCCATCTACTGTCTGTTTGCATGTGAATTTTTTTCTATTGATCATTAAACTGTCAATGTCCAATATTTATTTTGATATTCCTTTTTGTTTTTTTTTTAAAAAAATAGCCTTCCGATGGAGGAACTTATTCATGTATTGCACGTTCTCCTGGTCAAGAAATGGCTATGGATTCGACATTCTTAACAATTTTCAGTAAGATTAATTTATGATGAAATATTTATGTAAGAGAGATTAATTATCAGTACCTAAACAATTACATAACAGGAACGTACGTACATCACTTTACGTTGACATACCACACTTGCACAGAGATGCAATTGTCAATTCAAACCCATAGTGTTAGAAGTAGTAGAAGCATGAACAGTAATGTTTTTGGCTTGAAGATGCTGTTCAAGGAGTATAAAACAGTAAAATAGATTTGAGAAGAGAAAGATGAAAGTCATGAGGAATTCAAATTTGAAGTTGAGAGGACACCAAAAGTGGATATACCTTTGCCATTGTAAACGATTTAGAGCCGCGTCATTCAAAGTCTCTAACATAGCCGATAACAGTAGAGGACTTCCGCAGGTTACTAATCTTCGATCATCGATGTTTCCGAAGCATTGTTCGTGTATCGCGGGACAACCGTATAAGCAATGCTGTCGTTAGGAAACGAGTACTAGGTAAGGATGGCAAACCAATAGATGAAGTATTGAAACTTCATCAGTTGAGGTGGTCGGGACATGTGTTACATATGCCTAACCACCGACTGCCGAGATGAACGATGTTTTGTGGTGTAGGAGTAGGTTGGAAGAAAGCTAGGGGCGGCCAAACCAAGACATGACAGAAATCCATGAAGTCACTGACAAGTGGACTGAATCATGTCGGTAGATGTAGGCTACCTGGTTGGGGTCCGGGAGACGAAAGTCACCAATGGTTAAAGACCTTGAACGACATGGCTCGAAATCGTTTGCAATAGCGCAGTTGTATCCACTGTTTGTGTTCTCTCTAATTATAACCTTCTGAATTCCTCATAATCTCTATCTTTCTCCTTCTAAATTTATCTTACTGAATTATAATTCTCGAATCATATCTTCACTTCCTAATCTTCTCCATTACTGCTAATACTTCTACTATCGCTGTCACTCTTGTATTTGAACTGACAATTGCGTCTCTGTGCTGATGTGGTATGGCAACGTGAACTGATGTACTTACGTACGAAGTTCTAAGTTGTATCTGTCTATCTGTCTGTCATTCAAAGTCTCTAACCATCGATTAGTATCGTCTCTCAGACCCCAATCAGGTAGTCTACACATGCTAACATGACTCAGTCCATTTGTCAGTGACTTCATTGACTTGTGCCATGTTTTGGCTTGACCGCCCCTAACTTTCTTCCAACCTATTCTTACTCTGCAAAACACCGCTCGTAGAGGTAGTCGGTGTTTGGGCATACGTAGCACATGTCCCAATCATCTCAGCTGATGAAGGTGCAGTACTGCATCAATTTTTTTACCATCCTTATCTAGTATCCTTCTCCTGACAATGACATTACTTACTCGATTGTTCAGAAAACAGTTATATCATGAAACCACTATAGTTTGTCAAATAGTGAGGCAGTTATTTTGAACCAAATATATTTACGAGTCTGTCCAATAAATAATTAACCTAAGGTTATTGATATGCTCGTCAACTGATATGCTTGAATGCTACTGAGAGTTCATCTTACTCGGTAAACGGGACGAAGCAATGACTCAGTGACACAATAGGCTATTCTGATCCATTTGTTCCAGTCCCGGCTAACTCAGTCAGTCAGTTAGTTGCAACGTAGAACTTCGTACGTAAGTACATCAGTTCATGTCGCCATACCACATCAGCACAGAGATATAATTGTCAATTCAAATCCAATAGTAGTAGAGGTAGTAAAGGTATTAGAAGTAATCGGAGAGGTTAGAATCAGAAGATATTATTCACGAAGTATGATTCAATGAGATAAGTTTAGAAAGTCAAAACTAGAGGGGTTGAAGAATCCAGAAGGTTAGGATTTGAGAGAACACAAAGAATAAATGCACTGGCGCCATTGCGAACGATTTTGAGCCATGTCATTCAAGGTCTCTAACCATCGATTATTATCATCTCGCGGACCCCAACCAGGTAGTCGACAATTACCGACATGGCTCAGTCCACTCGTCATTGACTTCATGGATTTATGCCATGTTTTGGTTTGGCCGACCCTAGCTTTCTTCCAACCTATTCCTACACCACAAAACAAAGCTCGACGAGGCAGTCGGTGGTTAGGCATACGCAACACATGTCCCAACCACCTCAACTGATGAAGTTTCACCACTTCATCGATTGATCTGCCATTCTTTCCTAGTGACCGTTTCCTAATAACAGTGTTGCTCACTCGGGTGTCCCACGATATACGAGCAATGCTTCGAAGACACCTATGATCGAAAACCAATAACCGACGAGTATCTTCTACTCTCATTTGCCATGTTTCACAGCCATAAAGTAAGACGGAGCGAACCACTGCGCAGTACACTCGTCCTTTAGTCAGCAAACGGATATCTCGCCTATGCCATAAGTGACGCAGGTTGGCAAAAGCCAATCGAGCCTTCTGTATCCGTGCCGAGATTTCGTCAGTCACCAGGCCATCAGCACTGATGAGACTCCCAAGATAAGTGAAGCGGTCTACACGTTCGACTATTTCATTCCCTATCACTAGTTCAGGTGCCGACGAAACCCAATCTTGCAGCAACATTTTGCATTTTGAGGGGGAAAACCGCATCCCGAACATGCTTGCATTGTTGCTTAGGGTGGTCATAAGACTCTGCATTTTGTCAGCGTCTTCACCATGTAGGACTATGTCATCGGCATATTCTAAGTCAATAAGCGAGCCACCTGGTAGAAGGTCTACTCCAGAAAATTCAGACGAGGATAAGGTTATTTATAGCAGCATGTCTATGATAAAATTAAACAAGAATGGAGAAAGTGGACATCCCTGACGGACACCACTTGAAGTAGAGAATTCCGGTGACAGTTCGCCATAAGCTCTCACTCGACCAGTGGTGTTTGAGTAGAGAGCTTGTATGAGGTTAATGTACTTATTTGGTACACCTTTCAATGACAGACACTGCCACAGAACCTCACGATCCACTGAGTCAAATGCCGCCTTAAGGTCCCGGAAAACAAGTATTGTAGGACGCCTAAATATGTGTCTGTGTTCCAGGACCTGTCGTAGTGTGAAAATGTGGTCTATACAGCCACGTCCAAGTTGAAAACCAGCCTGGTTTTCTCTAGTCTGCTTTTCACGAGCTTTCGTTAAGCGTCGAAGTATTACTGAGGCCAATATTTTAGATACTATATTAGTTAGACTTATCCCTCTGTGATTGTCACAAGAAGACTTCTGTCCTTTCTTATAGATTGGCACAATCAGTGATTGAGACCAGTCGGATGGGATTGCGTCCAGTTCCCAGATTCTACCTAAGATCTCAGTCAACCTAGCTGCTAAAACTGGACCACCATCCTTAAATATCTCAGGGATCAGTCTATCAGGACCTGCAGCTCGTCCTCGCTTCAGATTTCATAACGCTTTTTCAACTTCATTAAGACTAAGGGGACTTACGTCGATTTGCCATTCAGGATGACTGGAGATCGTGGGTAATCGAAGAGTGGCTCGAGGCCAGTTGAACTGATCCCTAAAGTGTTCTGCCCATCGATCCAGTCTCCTGGATTGGGAATAAATAATAGTCCCGTCATTTTCTGAGATAGTCTCACTTACACTAGGATTCCTAATACCAGTTTCCTTGATAAGTCGGAAAAGTTGTCTACTGTTGCCGATCGCCGCTGCCTTTTCCATCGCTTTTGCTTTCGCCACCCACCACTGTTCGCGATCGTTACGTAGGCTTTTTATAAGTCTGCGCCTAAGTTGACTTCGTTCTTCATCATGTTCAGAGCCAGGTGGGATGAGTTTTCGAGCATCCATCAGATCGGTGGATGCTGCTGAGATCCACGGTTTCATTCTAGCCTTATGGTCAACCTTACTAGCAGATATCACTGCTGTTTCCACAGCCTTTTTGATATCATTCCATCCTGCTTCCGGATGGGAATCGCTTAAATGGTCGCCTAACTGTCTTTCTAGTTGTTCCTGAAATATATTTTTCGCCTTATTATCATTAAGTAAAACCCTAAGAGGCTTTCTTACGGTGTCTTTCCTACGCCCAGTAAGCTTCAAACAAATACGCGCTCGCACTAACTATATTAAGAAGTCTTGATAAGGCGTAGAAAGTATATTCTACAAGCACCCAAAATGTATGAGGTTAATAAGCACACTAATCGAGCTTAGTCATGCATGATAGAAACGTCCTTGAGAGAACCACAAAATAGCGCGCGAAAAATAATCTACCAACCAATGGGAAGTGTAAGCTCAAGGTCAAATAGGAGCGAAAGTTTAAAATATCCAAAATTAGGACCCTTTCCAAGTGAATTTCGGAGATCCAATGTCCCCAATAGTTATAAAAATTTTATTTAAGCAAATGTTTTGTAATTAAGAATTATCCCCTACCATTTGTAGTAGTACACTTCTACTATGTCACCTACCTTTTTTTTTAAAAAAAACCACTGAATGTCCTTAGAATAAGTAACTACATCTTCAAACATTAACATCAGTCATAAATCAACATCTTACAAGTTTTACTCACAAACAATCGTACAAACTCTTGAAAACCTTCAAGGGAAAATTCCTTCTCTTTTTAAATTTTTCAAGAACAACATTCTTACTGTATAGCACTATATATATATATATATATATATATATATATATACAGAGAGAGAGATTTTTAAGATCACTAGAACATCTATGAATAAAATGTTGATTTTTTTAGTCCAAATTAGAAATCAAACTTCAGAAATAAAGTAAACTGACTAGTAAGCCTTGAGCTCATTTAATCATTCGTACTTGAATAACAAGAAATCTATGCCTTGAATATCTGTACACAGTCATTTGTTATATACAATCCAACGTTTGTCACTAACTAAATCTGTTTTTTTATAAAGATTGCTTTATGTAAATCAAACTGATATGCCTCAATCGAAGCCGACTGGATTTCTAAATGAAGCATTCCACTTCACTATCATGATTCACATAGTCTCTCTGTCATTTGAAACTTACTTGCTTACTTACTTACGTATTTACTTACGCCTGTTACCCCCAATGGAGCATAGGCCGCCGACCAGTTTTCTCCAACCAACTCTGTCCTGGGCTTCCCTCTCCAGTTCCGTCCAATGTTTATTCATTCCTCTCATATCTTTCTCTATTTCTCGGCTTAATTTGTTCCTTGGCCTTCCTCTTTTCCTTTTGCCTTGAGGGTTCCATGTGAGGGCTTGTCTTGTGACGCCGTAAGGTGCTTTTCGTAGTGTGTGTCCTGTCCACTTCCACTGCTTCTTCCTGATTTCCTCCTCCACTGGAATCTGGTTTTCCTTCTCTCCCACACATTTAAAACTTCATGACTATAATTTAACTTTTCATAAGATCTAATTTTTTTTCTCAAATTTTTTTAAGCTAAACCGGAATTTGAAAGAACACCGAATCAAACAACCGAAGCATACGAAGCAAGATGGATACAATTTCGTTGTATTGCAAATGGACATCCAAAACCAGAAATACGTTGGATGCATAATGGAAATATTATACCAAGTAGGTGTTTGATTATAAATTTCATTTAATAAACATACACTACTTATTAAGTAGTTTTGTTATTGATCAACATGATGATATACATGAATTCAACTAAATTCGTTTACTTTTTTCCGTTTAAGTGACTTATGTACATTTGAATTTAAATGTGAACAGATCTTGATGCTTTTTTTCACTATAGAATGATGGAGATCGTTGTTTTACATTGAAGTGGTGACTTGATCATCGTTAGACTACTATTAGAAACCAGAAAGCAATACTCGATTGTTTCGTCCTGGTTAGGGACTCACATCACCCATTGTGCAAAATCCTTAGATCAATCAGAGTTAGAAATTAACACCGTAGGATGCATCTTAGGAGTCTAGAGGTTAAGCGTTGGGGCACAAGAACGAAGTTCATTAGTTCAAATCCTGCGAGTAACAGGAGTCATGGATATGCATTGCTGATAAGTCCCATGCCAGGACGAAATGGTCGTCTTTCAGTGAGTGGTTCCAGGTTTCTGATGGTGGCCTGATGATGAAGTCACCATTTCAACATCTTGATGTAATGTTTGACAATAAATAATTATTGTCCTTTTCAGTGATTATTTCATAATTCATGTCATGGTTTTATATCCTGAACATCATACTACTATTGTTACGGTTTACTGTATAAGTTATTTCTGAAACTGAGAAAACAATTATAATTCAAACCTCATACCATTGATAACTTTCGATTCATTATAAGCTTAGATGAATGTTGAATAGCAGTACAGTCAAGAATGCACGTTTCGTCCTATCTGGGACTTATCAGCTGCATGTACTTGTATCCATCTGAAACGCCGACACAGTACTATCCGCTCCAAACACTAACGCGTTATCTATTTAGCTATTGAGTTCAGAGAGACACCTGCTTGTACAGTAAGGTGAGGTTTAATTCATTTGTCTTGGTTACTTATATCTTCCTACTACAATTGATCAAGGCAATTTGCACAGGGTGTACATATACCAAAAGACAGTGATCAGTGGCAGTTGTAAACTATCAGTGATATGATTCAAATAACCAATACAACTGAATGTTGGCTATTTAGATGTTAATGTTTTTGTTTTTTCTGAAAAAAATCTCTATTTGATCGGATGGAAATCACTAATAAATTTTAAAAATATTTCTGAATATTGATATTAAATATGTAATGATTTCAAAATGTATTCACAGGGATTGGTCAATATTTTTTCTGGTGGGTTAAGTTTAATTTTATTGACCTTCTCTACACAATATGATATGAGCTTACTTACTTGCTTACGCTTGTTACCCCACCCCTAATGGAGCATAGGCCGCCGACTAGTGAATTATGTTTTTCTGGACAGCGATATTTTAGCAAGTTAGATTTTTACGGGATGATGTCACTAACCCCATGTCCGATCCTCCTGGGATTGTATCAGTGGCTTGGGGCTGGTAGTAACCTCAGGAGGGCTACAGGCGTAGTTGTAATCTGAACTAAGATATGAGTATTCAAACAAATTTCAATTATCTTTTTTGTCGTAGTTAACTTGAGACAAACTAAAGACTATGCATGTAACTTAGGCAACACCTCTCTGCAGATGACCCAAGTAGAAAAAATCTAAAGGTCTTAGTACTCTATGATCTAAAGTCTTACTCTGATTGTGATAGAAATGCTATCAAGTAAGTCTTGTATTGGTGATATTGAGGCTCACTGTTGTCCATTACAACAACAGAACATTCCACTTAATTTTAAGTGTTTTTACTCGGCCTCCTTTCCTCCCTCAATCCAGAAGGACAAGTATACATCGGAACGTATCCAGAGGAGGAATTCGAACCTTGTGAAGAACGCCTCAAATCACTGGATTTTTAGCCATTGGAATAAATTCATCTCGGAGGTGACCTTCTAATAATTTACAGCATCCTAAACACTTCTGAGCTTCCACTGATATTTTTACTTAAGCTTGGTCCCATTATAAATCTTAGGGGCAATACCCAGAAATAAAAGACACCATAGTAGGCACACCTTTTACTTTTTAGACAAATTCTGAAATTTACTACCAGTTGAGATGATCCAAATGACCTTCCAAGAGCCCATCAAGATGGAACTTGACATATTGTTCAGGACTCAGAATAGTGTTACGTAATGATTTACTAATTTTTCTTCCTGTACTCGTTAAATAAACCCTAAGGTTCCAACTTAGAGGCATTGATGATCCCGTTAAGCGAAAAAAATTTTCCGTTCCATCCACAATCATTCTGAACACTCGATTTCTTGAATAAAACTAATTTTGTTTTATGTATAAATGTGGCTATTCTTTTTCATCACAGGTAATCCAAGCAAAAATGGAGTTGGTTCACTGGTACTCGGCCCATTAAGAACCGATCAAGCTGGTCGATATACATGTGTAGCAAAGAATGATGCTGGAAGTGTTGAATATGATTTTGAATTAAAAGTCAAAAGTAAGTCTTTATAGAGTAAAAGTATGCAGTATTGGGATGAATCATTTCCGGTCGAGAATGTAACTGTAAGGTTTCCGATCAATACACAATACTAGGGATAATGAGCAATAAAAATGTCTTCGTTCAAAATGATAGTAGAAAATAATTTTTTGATACTATAGGCTAAAAGTGATAAAGTTAGTAGTATCTTGAGATGGTGGAGTTGAGATGATTGTGATGGAGTTTGCTTCTCTGAGCTGGCTGTTTTGGCTGTGAAGATTTCATTGTTCTTCTGAACAACATCATCAGCACAAACTTCAGATAGCAGAAGTGAAGTATTTGAGAGACTATGAAAAACACTACATACGACAAAATGAACATTCTGTTCAGCTTCGTCTGCGTGAATATCAATTAGTAGTCAAAGCCATGAGACTTTTTCCCTTATATCAATACAGACGGACAGCTGTGGACATACATTCGAACTGAACTTTGTTGAAATACTAGATCGAGGCAATGCAGAGAATACTTGATAATTTTTAGAAGCTTGGCACTCAAGTCAATCGATAATCAACAAACACACTGGCATTGATTCAGTTTAGCAACTAATCAGAAAAATCATGGGCAAACATAGGATCAAGAAACACATCAAAGGAGGATAGAATCAAAATAAAGGTGCAGACAACAACGGGTTTAATGTCAACAACAACCAATCAAGATTGATGTCAACAGAACAAGCCACAGGTCATACGTGGAGAAGTTTAAATACTTCACCTCTGCTATCTGAAGTTTGTGCTGATAATGATTCTATTCAAAAGAAAACAATGAAAGCTCCATAACCAAAATATTCAGCCCAGAGATCAAAACTCCATCACAAGTTTGTACTATCGACACAGCATATATTAGCATACATTAGGACTGTAGACACACTGTCTGGAATTCTCTGCCAGCTGATGTTGAGCCAAGTGACCTTCCAGAAGTTCTTCAAGATGAAACTTGACATATTCTTCAGGATTCGAATTCACAAATATTTTGCTTTAACTCGTCAAATACGCCTGGGTTCCTACTTGAAGTTCCACTGTTACTAGATATGAAAATAGAATAAAAAAATATGGAACAGTGTAAAAGTATTGTTGTGACTTTTAGTTCTATTAGCATAAATTACTTACTTACTTATTTACTCCCAGTAAAACATAGGCTGCTGACCAGATTTCTCCAACCTACTCTGTCCTGCGCCTACTTATCCAGTTCTATCCAATTTTTGTTCATTTTTACTACGTCTGTCTCCATTTCTCGGCGTATTGTATCCTTTGGTCTTTAACTTTTTCTTTTTTCCAAACAAGGTCTTGTCTTGTGACACAGTTAGATGCTTTCTGTAATGTGTGTCATATTCACCTCTACTGGCGCTTTTTCTTAATTTCTTCCTCAGTAGTGGTAAGAAAAATAAAATACGATAACAAAAGTTCTTATCAATAGTTTGTCATTTCTTGAATTTTTAATATTTCATTAAAATCTTAATTCGATCAATGCTGAACTATCATTAGAAACTTAGAAGGAGGTTAAGCGTTCCTGTATGAGTTCGAAGGTCCTGGGTCATCGACTCACCCAACTGATGAGTAGTTTCATACTAGGAAAAACAGAGCAATCTTTCAGTGCTTTCAGATTTCTAATATGGGGTAGCCTGATAATGATCAATTCATGATTTCAATGAAACTTAATGGTATTTCAACAACCTTATAATGTTTTTCACATGATATTTACCAATTTTTTTATAGCTCGTCCTAAAGTTCATGTCTATCAATCAGATGAACCACCAAGAGAAAGTGATACAACACGTTTACGTTGTGAAGTTAGTGGAGATGCTGATTCAGTTGTATGGTTAAAAGATGGCAATATCATATCGAATTCAAGTCGTTTTCGTATTCTAGACAAAGGTTCAAGTCTTGTCATTAAAATGGCTAAGGTACTATTTGAAAATAAAAATGTTGAAATCATTATTTTTGAAAAAAATTAAATCAAATATGCTATTTTTTAAAATTTTAAATCTGATTAAAATATATTATTCCTGTTTTTTTATTTTTCATGATATTGGGTTCGTCACTTAGTATGCTTGAGGCTATTACGAGTTCACCTTAGTCGATAAACGCGAACAAGACTTTTACCAGCGTCCAGGTAGGCTACCTTCAATCCCGAACTAAAGTAAGAAGGCTTTGTAAGCGTAGAAAGTATATTCTACAAACACCCAGCAATCACACAATATAATCAAGCACACAACTCTCGTTTATTTATACATCATGGAAACGTCCTTGGGACAGTTACGAAAATAGCACATCAAAATACACAGCAGCTAAACACAGCCATGGATTTCATTTCCTGGTGGGAAATGAAATCTCAAGGTCAACTGATCAGCCCATGCTTGCAAACGTGAAAACCAAAATAATAAGGCATTTATGAAGCGAGTTTTGGGGATATAACATCCCCAATACATCACCACTTTTATTCATAGGTCATAATTATCATATTGTTTGATAATAATCGATAAAAGTTTATAACTTATGATTTTTTCATTGAAATCATGAATCGATGATCAGTGTTAAAGCATCATTAGAAACCTGGAAGTATTGAATAGTCATTTCATCCTAGTATTGGACTCGTTAGCAGTGCTCATCCACGAAACCCCGCTCATGAGAATTGCTTTGAGAGCCTTCGGTCCTGTTTCCTGAGGAAATTCCAGGAGTTCTAGTAAGAAGTAGTGACCAATGGAGTTCAACCTTGTCAGTTGTGAACAATGTCCAACGAAGATAATCGGTGAGGTCATGCAACACTGTGAACTGATTGAAGTTAGACATAGTTGGATGCTAGCTCAGTGATCTAGAGGTTAAATGTTCGTTCACGAGGCCATAGGTCCTGAGTTCGATTCCCGGTAGCGCAGATTGTGGATATGAACTGCTGACAAGTCCGAATGGGGTGGTCTAACATTGATCGACCCATAATTTCAATAAAACTCAACAATCTTCAAAACTCCTTATACTCGTAAACGTGACACAAGGTTATAATTGATCTGATTAAAATATGTTTACATTGATTGGGATAATTAACTTTTAAATTAATGTTATATCATTCTTTTAATTAGGCTAAAGATACAGGGACATATCAGTGTATCGCTGCAAATCCAGTTGGGGAAGATCTTGGTGAACTACGTTTAGTTGTAGAAAGTAAGTTATTGTTTTTCTATTTGGTTTAATGGAATATTTTTACTTTTCGAATAAATTGAACGTGGAGGCAGATGCTGTCAATAAAATTATATTTTAGTGAATGTATTCAGTGTTGAAAGATTTTTTTCTCGACTAAACTACTTGAGTGTTGCGTTCTATTGATTACTTTGATGATATATACATTGGTATGTATATGCATAGTTTAGGGATTAAAAAGAACATGATTCTTGTCAGAGAAGTCAAGACTAGTAATCCATAGTTCTGCTACGTTCATGACATAAATCGTAAAGCCTTCAATGGATGGTATAATTATGTGATCACGTTAATCATTCAGATTTATTTGACATCTACCCCAGGTAGGTCAGTCCAAGTGTGCATCTATTCACTGATAATGTTCAATTCAAGGGTAATGCATTCCACTCAGTAGTAACTAATCTGTTGCTATTTATTTCCGACTGATATGATTGTAAGATACTATTCGTAATAAACAGATTGATCTCATTTGCATTGCCATCTACTACTAGGGAGCACTCAGTCAGTCAGTTACAATGAGGAACTTCATACGTGCATACATCAGTTCAGGTTGCCATACCTTATTAGCACGGAAATGCAATTATCAGTTAAAATCCCATAGTGGTCGAGATAGTAGAAGCATTAGCGGTAATGAAGAAGATTAGGGTTTGACGATATCATTCAAGAAGTATACAAATTTAGAAAGAAAAAGACAGAGATGATGAGGAATTCATAAGATTGGAATTTGAGAGAACACAAAAAGTGCATTCACCTCAGCCATTGCAAACGATTTTGATCCATGTCATTCAAGGTCTTTAACCATTAGTGACTTTCGTCTCGCGGACCCCAATCACGTAACCTAAATCTACCAACATGATTCAGTCCACTTGTCAATGACTTCATGGAATAGTGCCATGTTTTGGTTTGGCCGCCCCTAGTATTCTTCCAACCTACTCCTACACCACAAAACATCGCTCGTCCAGGCAGTCGGTGGTTGAACGTCCGTACCAAATGTCCCAACCACCACAATTGATGAAGTTTTAATACTTCATTTATTGATTTGCCATCCCTACCTAGTACTCGATTGTTAACGACAGCATGGCTTACTCGGTTGTCTCATGATACACGAGCAATGCTTCAAAGACATCTATAACCGGATACTAATAACCAACAAATATCTTCAACTCTTACTGGCCATATTTCGCATCCATATATTAAGAAAGAGCAAACTGCTGCACAGAAGACTCTTCCTCTATTTAACAAATGGATATTTTGCCACTAGGTAGCATTAGACAAGTGTTTCATCCTAATACAAATATTCAAAATTTCATACTGATTAGATCAAACATTGACCTAGATGACATTCCATCTCATCTGATTGATTCATGTTTTCTAATTTATCAAAACAATCCTTCTAGTTCTGTTCAAAATATTACTGCTTAAAATGATCATAGATGAAGTCCAAAATCTGACCCAAAACTTACAGTTACATCGATTGAATATTGATCATATTTTTTTAATATTCAATCTATCTAGGTAAACCATATCTTGTCAAGTATCCAAATAATATGACAGCTCAAATTGGTAGTGTCATTGTGATGGAATGTTTGGCGGAAGGTCAACCGAAACCAACTATTACATGGTATAAAGATAAACAACAATTAATTCTACATGAACATCGTTCACTTGTAAATAATGGTTCATTAAGGTAAGTGAATGATCGTCACAAAGTACAATTTAGTAGTTAAATGTAGTTGAAACGTTGTAGGGTTCGAGGCGGATAGTTAATTAGGTTTTAATCACGTTTTATATCAGTATGTAGGAGTGTTCAATCATCACACGTGAGTATTTATTGTATACTAACCAAATCATACTTGATAGTGAAGTTGTGGACGGTGTAAAAACCTTTACATAACTATGTGCTACGCCTGCACGTAGACACGTCAACTTGATATACTTGAACTATCATGAGTTCACCCCTTAGTCGGAAAACGAGAACGAGGATTGAGGGGCGACACGACAAGCTGCTCAAACCCGATTATTTCAACCCCCAAATTTAGTGAAAATAAGAAGATTTGAATGTGGAGCAGAACCTGTATTCTACAAGCATCCAGAAAGTACGAGGTTCGAATCCAGAAGAGAATAAGGATCACGGACTAGGAATCCGGGACCGAGCCCTGGTCCTGGTTGTGGTCATAATACGTTTCAGATCATGCGTATTTATACATTTTGGTCGAATAGGAAACAGCGTCGAATTCTGTGGCATTGACAGTTAAGACGACCAATAGGAAGTAAGATTTGAAATGACATTGATAGTCCGGATGACCAATAATAGACAACATTGAAGTATTTGACTTTGACAGGTAGAACGACCATAATTTTGACCAATAGAAATCGACCAATAATTCTCTTAGGATATTGGATGAATATCCTAACACTACGCAATATCATTATTGAGCACAGTGGATCGGATGTAGATATGAAGGCGCGGATTGGCTAAACAAGGGCAACATTACTTGTATTGCAGAACATATGGAAGTCAACACAACTATCAATCAACATCAAAGTCATCAATTTCAATACAAATGTCAAGACGGAAACTTGGAGAACCACGAAAGTCATCATCTACCAGACACATGTGTTCATTAACAATTTTCTACACAAGATACTGTGGATCCATTGGCCAGACATCATCAGCAACAACCTACTTTGGGAGAGGACAAAATCAGATCCATCCAACCGAGGAAGAAATCAGGAAAAAGCGCTGGTTGATGTAGATGGATAGGACACCAATCGAGGAAAGCATCCAAAAACATCACAAGACAAGTCCTCACTTGGAATCTTATAGATTTTTTATTGCATAACTATCATTATATCATTTCGATATTATTTTTCCTTTCTTCTTCTTTCCTAGAATTGTTGGCGTTTCATCTCATGATGATGGTTTATATCATTGTGTAGCTTCATCAAGTTTAGGTGAAGATTTTTCACCACCTGCATTTTTACAAATCCAACTAGATGGTCGATGGTCAGATTGGTCACAATGGTCAGAATGTAGTCAAACATGTGGACATGGAACACAATCACGGTATGTTATCGTTACTTACTTATTACTTACTTACTTATTGACACCTGTTACCAACCCTAATGGAGCATAGGCTACTGAATAGCGAATCATCTATTTCTGGTTAGCGTTTCTTTTAACGAGTTGGATTTCTACAGGCAGGGGTCGCCGTGTCCATGCTTAACCCTTCTTTTTGATTCGAATCGGCAGTAACCGTAGAAGGCCTCCGGACAGAGTTTATGTGATCATGATATCGTAGTGAGAAGACTGAGGCAGACGCTGAAGATTGTATTGTGCAAATTTACACTCTAACTTAATTAAAACGACAACATTACATTGAACACTCTATTTGCACACCATCTTTGAGTCGTGACTTCCAACGCTCCATCCTTCCTCCATTCCTGCTGTCGCTTCCTTTACTTCCTGTTGGTACTCTATTTATGTCTTGCTTTTGCTCCATTTGCTTTCCGTTTTCCTCTTCTGACCGTGAGATTTCTTCTTTCACGTCCCTTCTTATACTACTTATATCGTTCGTATAAGTAGCACACACCAAAATAGTTTTCCCTACGTTTGTAATTTGTCAACTTGAAATTTTTTATTAGAAAGATTTGAAAAAAATCTGATAGACAGACTCAGATGAACTTTTTCGCAATATAGTATTATGCAGATTGTTGTTTTATATTAAAATCCTGAATGAATCATTGTAAGACCACCATTAGAAACCTAAAAGCACTGGAAGGCTGTTTCCTCCTGGTATGGGGCTCCTCAGAAGTAACTACGGATAACAAATGGGTAAGGTCGCACAAAATCTTCAGGTTGATCAGTGTTAGATATTGACACCGGTCGACACTGGCTTAGTGGTCCAGAGATTATGTAAGATCCATTTTTGAAAGCTTTGTTTGTGAAAAGCCCTCCATGTATACATTTGTAATTCGTTCTTACTGATTCCTTCAGTTGTACATTTTGTTAATCTGTTCGATTCCATTTCGGAGATGATAATAGTTGTATTTTATTATAGTTTCTATTTCTTCTACCTTCACTGAGTTTCTAAGTTTCTTTCTGAACTGCATTTATGTTGTTTAAGCTGATACTTAGTCATGGCGACAGCCATATTGATTTGTTCCTCCTTTGATTGAGTTGCTTGTATTGACTGGAGTTGTGCGTTTTGATTGTGAATTGAAGCGCCCATGCAGAATAAGAAGCACTCTGTGTCATAAAGCAACCAGATATTATCTTTTGAAGGAATCTGATCTATCCAGGAGGGATAGAATAACATTTATTTGTTCCGGTTGATTTGACTAATTGAACAATTTTTGGTGGAATAACTAACTGAATGAAAATATTGTTTAGGTAATTATGTCTATTTATATTTATGATGAATATTAGAACCGTTATTTACCTAAATCACTTGTTTTGGATTTCAACTGGGCAATAGCGCGTATCTAAACTACCTAGACAGTAATTCCTCAATTGAAACCTCAGTTTGGATCCTACAATTAAGCGTTGGTGAGGAACGCTAAAGGTTCTTTGTTCGGTTCCTGCGAGAAGCAGAAGTCGTGTATGCTCACTGCTGGTGAGTCCCCTACCAGAACGATACGTCCCTTCAATGCTTCCAGGTTTATAATAGATGTCTAACAATCATCTGTTCGTTACTTTAATGTAAGGTAAATATTTTGAAGGGTCACTTGGAGTAAATTTATAGTTTAAACCTATGACCAGTTTATATGGAAGACTATATTCTGAATGGTCGGTTACGTGTTATTTATATTTTTGAATTTGTTAATTAAACAACCAATTACTTTCTAAAACTTCGTTATTTCACACATGTATAGGACTCGAACATGTACTAATCCAGCACCAAAATATGGAGGTGCTCATTGTACCGAAGAAAATACTGAAATTCGTCCATGTTTAGTCAAATTCTGTCCTACCGATGGTGAATGGGGTAATTGGACACCATGGTCTGCTTGCACAGCTACATGTGGTGTAGGTTTATCACAAAGACGAAGACGTTGTGATAGTCCACCTCCAAGCAATGGTGGTAGAGTAAGTTATTAGGTTGTTATAATATTTTGTAAAATATATTCGAGGAATAATAAAAATAATAATATATTTGTAGTTTTCCAAAGATAAAATCGAAATATAAATTGAAATATTATTGTATTATTTAGTTGAGCTTCTAAACGTTAAAGCAAAATTGACTCGGTAATCAAATTGTTATGCTTTCACCAAGATCACTGGAAATACTAGAGTTTATCCTCAGCTCATATCGTGGATGAGTACTGTTGAGGTGTTCAACACTCCTGATAGTCGACTGGATTATTAAGACGTCAACATCTGACGGGAAGCACAGGATACAGTGGACAGATCGAATGCCGCTGGATGATCTGGCTCTTCTATCCCACACGCAACAACAAATCCAAGAGAAGACGACCAGCGTGGCATCAGCCTCAGCAGCAGCAGGTCTCAACATGCACAAAGGAAGAAGCAAAACTCTCTGGTACACCATAACGTGCACCCACCAAATCACACTTGACGGAGATGCCTTGGACGAAGCAAAATGCTATACCTATCTGTGATGGGTCTAATGCGAATGTGAAGGCGCTAATCCGCAAAGCAAGGACAGCACTTGTACAATCGAATAACAGTTGGAACTCAAAACAACTATCAACTAGCACTAATGTCAGAATTCTAAATACAAATATCTAGCCAGTTGCATTTTATAGAATTGAAACATGAAGAACCGCGGAAGTTATCATTCGCAAGGCACAAGTATTCACTAACAGTTATCTATGCAAAATACTCCTCATCAGTTGGCCAGACCCCAGCAGGATTCTACTGTGGGAGATAACCAACTAGGAGGAAATCAAGAAGAAGCGCTGGACACATATTGAGGAAAGCATCCATCTGCTTCAAAAGACAAGCCCTCAAAGAAAAGTGGAAGGCCGAGGTACACATTACACCGAGAAATGGAGGCAGATATGCTTAGAATGATCAACAATTGGATAGAACTAGAAAGGAAGGCAGAGGACAGACTAGGTTACAGAATGCTGATTGGCGGCCTATACTTCATTCGGGGTTGATATGCTTCAGCTATTATGAGTTCACCTTACTCAGTAAACGGGACGAAGATCAATGATTCAGTGATACTACAGGCTACTCTAGACCGATCGTCCCAGGCCCCACTAACTGTAGGAAGAAGTTTTGATAAAACGTAGGAAATGTATTCTACAGGCACCCAGAATGGACGAAGTCCACAAGCACACAACTCAAGTTTGTTTATACAGTGATAAAATGCCCTTAGTGAGAGCCACAAAATAGCGTACTAAAATAATCCGTCAACCAATGATAGTCAAGCCTTTTCCGAGTGGGAAATGCAAACTAAAGATCAAAATAAGCGTCTTTGGCGCGAAAACATAAAATTTAAAGTTTTAATATAAAATTACAAAATCAGAATCTTTCCCAAGTGAGTTCTGGGGATTTAACATCCCTAACAGGGGGTTACACGCGTAAGTAAGTAAGCAAATAACAGCATGTTAATATTATGTGCTGAAATTTTAATATTGATGTTCTTCAAGTAACTTATCAAGATTAGAACTCACTTAGTTAATACAATACGTCCTATCTAGCCGGTCAGTTGATTTATGATATCGATCGATAATTTTTATATTACAGTGCCTATCATATAAAGTATTTATGCCTTAGCATAAGTAAATACCATATATCCCTCTTTTGAATTTTTACTAATTTTCATTAAGTCATGTGTTGGTGAAGCTGTTGAAGATGTAATGTGTGAAGGTCTTCCACCATGTCCAATCTCTGGTAGTTGGTCACCATGGTCTCCTTGGTCTGATTGTTCATCAACTTGTGGAGTTGGAGGTACTCAAAATCGTAAACGAACATGTGATAATCCAGCACCAGCCAATGGTGGTCGATCATGTCCTGGACAAGATTTAATGGTAAGTTGAATGAAAAGTAGAGTAGTAATTCGTTTTTAAAGTATACAGAATATTATTGAACAAAATCACTGTTATTTACACAGAGTTACATATTTTGTAGATAAGATTCACTAAGGATCTGACGCAATGAATGAACTTTTCAAAGTTATTGGTCTGAAAATAGTCATTGGTGTAAGAATCTATGTTTAGTAGAATGTTATGATTGTGGAGCTTTCATTGTTTTTGTGCTGAACACTATCATCAGTTCAAACTTTAGGTAGCAGGAGTGAAGTATTTGCATTTATCTACGTATGACTTGTAGCTTATTCTGTTGAACTCGATCTTGATTGCACTTAAACCTGTCATTATCTGCACCTTTATTTTGATAGTTTCCTCCAACCACCAACTTATGTCAAAAGATGAAATATTTCGTTACTATACAATAACTAATTAGTATAGTGTTTATTCATCGAAATCGAGTGATTGTAAGACCACCATTGGAAACCTGGTAGCAATGGATGGCGGTTCCATCGTAGTATCGGACTTATTAACAGTGCTCATCCATGACTCCGTAAGTGATAGTCGAACCCATGAACTCCAATTTTGTGAACGAACGCCTATGCTATAGACCACTGATCCGATATCCAACAGTGTTGATAACTAACTTCAATCAATCCACAATATTGTGTAACCTCATCCATTAACTTCGATGGTTACCTGACTCACATTCAACACAGCTTAGCTACACTAGTCACGTCTTCTCACTAGAACTCTTCCAATCTACTTTTACATCACAAAACATCGCTCATCGGGGCAGTCGGTGATTAGGCATACGTGACACATTTCCTAACCACTTCAACTGATGAAGATTCATTACTTCATCAACTGATCTGCTATCCTTTACGTAGTACCATTTTCCTAACACCAGCATTGCTTAGTCGGTGGTCTCAATCTATACGATAAATGCTTCTAAGACACCAATGATCGAAAACTAATGACCTACAAATATCCCCTACTCTTAATAGCCATGTTTCACAGCCATATAATAGGACGGAGCGAACTGCTGAGCAGTAAACTCTTTCTTTGGTTAGCAGACGAATATCTCGCCTACTCCAAAAGTTACACAAGTTGGTAAAAACTTATCTAGCCTTCTGTATTCGTGCTGAGATTTCGTTACACAACAGGCCATCAGCACTGAGGAGACTCTCTAGATGGATGAGGTGGTCAACAAGCTCAACCATTTCACTCCCTATCACTATTTCGGGTCCCAATTAAAGATAAATTCTGAAGACACGTTATTCTAACGAATAAGAATTCACTGTTTCAAAATATTGTTTTTTTTTTCACGTAAATACAGGTACGTGCATGTAATCGTGGTCCTTGTCCAGTGAATGGAGGTTGGGGAACATGGAGTGCTTGGTCGCATTGTTCACATAGTTGTGGTGGTGGTCAACGTCGTCGAACACGTCTATGTGATAGTCCCAGTCCAGCTTATGGAGGTGAAGATTGTCCTCCGACAGGAAGTTCAGAAACTTCGGAATGTCAATCAGAACCATGTCCAAGTATGTACATCTTGAGGAAAATATGTAGTTTAGTAAAAAATATATATTAACATCGTTGTTGTATACAATAATTTTGCTTCATTTTTTAGTGTGATTATCTCTTCAACAGAATGCAAACGTTGTTTTTAATAGATACATTTTTCTTTAATTGTCAAGCTTCACATATTTCTCAATGATAAATACATACTTACTTACTTACTTACTTACTTAAGCCGGTTACCCCTTAATAGAGCATAGGCTGCCGAACAGTATTCTCCAACCTACTCAATGATGATATTAATGTACTTTTTATTAAGGTGTAAAAGTTTGTGCAGAAAATTCTTACTCGATTGTACTCTTATGAGAGAATGCCTAACAAGTTCAACGACAACGTAGAACTTCGTACATACGTACATCAGTTCAGGTTGCTATACCACATTACCACAGAGATGCAATTGTCACCTTCAAATCCCATAGTAGTCGAGGTAGTAGAAGTATTAGCAGTAATCGGAGAGATTAAGGTTCGAGGATATTATTCAAAAGGTAGAATCTAGTGAAATAAACTTAAAAAGGAAAAGATAAAGGTGATGAGGAACTCCGAAGGTTAGGATTTGAGAGAACACAAAAAGAACGGATGTACCTGCACCATTATAAACGGCTTTGAGCCATGTCATTCAGGATCTTTACCCATCGATCACCATCATCTCACGGGCCCCAACCAGGTGGTCGACACCTAACAACATGACTCAGTCCACTTGTGTGTAGTGACTTTATAGATTTCTGCCATGTTTTGATTTGGCCGCCTCTAACTTCTAGACCATTCAGCCAGCATTCAATAATCGATTCCTGATTTCAAATGAAAAACGTAGAAAGCATTTGATTTCGACCAGTTTTGTCTCTCGTGCTGTTACGGGTATGACGGTGGTTGTCACTTCCCAGCTGCCCACACCGTGGAAGGTTGTTTCATGAGGGACCTGAAAAGGAAGATAGATTAGTGTTGGTCTTAACGACCTGGAAGCGCGACCGCAAGGGACAACTGATCCAGGCCGGTCATGCACGGCTTTTTTATGAAAGGTTTTATGAGTATTAGCTACGCTCTTAAAGGCCCTTAGTGGGAACCCTTACCGCCGGAGACGGAAATCCGTGAGGTAGGGTGAGGTGTGACATTTGTAGGGTCGACATTTTCTAACCCTTCCTTCCTTGTGAGAAGGCAGCATCGCTGAAAATGCTGGTTGTCCGAGGGAAACACCTAACTGCTGTCACACCCCTCTGCAGTCAGTAGTACGACTTCGCCCTCAAACCTTGGGTAGCTGCTTTTAGTCTCATCGTTCTCCAATCGACCTGCCTGGCATGGTAGAACCTTCAGAAACATATGTTCCAGCCAGTATAGCTCGGTTGGGTCATCACGATAGGCAAGCCCGACCATCACGTCAAGGTAGCAGCTACGGTCAGGTATGTGTACCACCAAAGCGAGTACCAAATGAAAAACAATCATCTCCATATCTTTATAATGAATTATGAATTTATTTCATTACTAGTTATTAAAGATATCTAAAATTCAATAATTTTTTACTGTTTAGTTCATGGAGATTGGTCAAACTGGTCATCATGGTCAGCTTGTTCACGTACTTGTGGTGTTGGTCTACAAACTAGAGAACGTGAATGTACTCAACCACAACCACAATTTGGTGGACGTCTTTGTCGTGGATCAGCAAAAGAAATTCGAACATGTGAAATGACAAAACGTGGTAGTTCAGAATTATGTCCAAATCATGAATCTGGACAAATTTCTACTTGGTCAGAATGGTCTTCTTGGTCAGAATGTGAACCGGATTGCAGTGTGAATCGTGAAACCACAGAAACAAGTGGAATAAAACGTCGTGTACGAACATGTACACTTTTATCACTTGATGAAAATGAATTAACTCATGGTTGTCCAGGTCCAGCTGAAGAAATTCAAGATTGTACATTTGAATATAAACTAGACAGATGTCAAGGTAAGCATTAGAAATGTAACAGAAACATATTTTCTGTCAGTAAATGTTTTATTATATCATTACTGTAACGGTTACTTAGATATATTTTCCGTCGATACTGTTGTAATGCTTGCTTAGATAATTCCCGGCTAAATCCTATTGCTTAGTATTCTCTGACCACAAAACACTGGACAAGTTCCCAAGAATCAAAAACACGGTTGAAAAGGAAAAGATTATATTCCAAAATAGCAAGGAATAAGAAGCCAGAGGTGATGGCGAAGGCGAAGGCAAAGAAGGCAAAAATAGATACAACGTTAGTCTATTTATAGCATTTACATGAGAAAGCTTCTGGACAGAAATTCACGTGATCGACTGGATTAGATTTAGCCAATCAGCATGCAGCTAACAGTACGAGAATCTTCTACCCTGTTCTCCAAGATTCGATCAGGCGCTGATTGGATAGGAAATTAGCCAATCAGCGCGCAGCAACGTAGTCATGCTTTAATTCCATCAATGTCCCACTAACAATCATGAAATTTAGTTATGAAGTGTTATCAAGTGTTAACTGATTGTTTTACTCTATTCATAGTGGTTATTTACTGAAATCTATTTGAGTACTTTACCAATCAAATGTTTTGAATTAAAGAGTCAGAATATAAATTTAGCTCATATTTGGAAACTTTGTGAATACTGTTATCATAGAATGAATTCATATATTTAGATGAATAAAAGACGATCAAGTTTTATTTTAAAAAGACTAACTGAAACATGTTACAACATTATGGTTTAGCCAATGTTCACGCTGAGATTCGAACCAAAAACCATTTGTTCCGAACACTACTTAGCTGCTGAGTCTAGATAGCCACCGTCTTGTTCAGTGGGGTGAAGTTTAATTCATTTGTCTTGGTTGTTTGTATCTTCGCACTGCAATTGATCAAGACAATTTGCACAGCGTGTACATATGTAGTGTGTCGATTTACTGCGTGTTCTTAAGCTCGGGCTAATTAGCTCGTCTGGACAATCGTTACTAACTAGCGTCTGACGGTTTATAAATCAGAAGGTGAACTCGTAGTGATGGATACGTTTATTTGGGATACACCACACAAAGCGAAGCGGAGAAGTAGTGAATAAAACGAATGAAGCGACGTGAATTGAAGAAGGCTGTTGAGACAACTCGTAGGATTACAATGCGAACGAATGGACGAAGGAAGCGATGTGGAGAAGGCTAGTGAGCCAACTCCAAGAGATAGGGCGTGACTAAGAATATAGAGTCAGACAAAAAATAAGATAGACATGCGACAAGCGAAATAGGCACACATGCATAAAAGCGACGAATGGTTGACAAGGTCAAATGACAAGTGGAACATGTCATGTGAGCTCACGCTAAACAGACAATAATAAGAACGAATGGTACATATAAATTGTTGCAATACAAATGGCTTGGTTAAATAAATTAATCGAAAGGGCTTAACCAAGTTAGATGTAAGGGAACTGGAATGAATATATGTGGAGGCACTACACATATACCAAGAGACACTGATCGATAGCGGCTGTAAAACATCAGTGAGATGATTCAAGCAACCAAATACAAGTGAATTTCGAATAGTTAACAGCTAGTTTTTCTCACTTGCTGGCGAAACTCTATTCGATCGATGGAACTCATCAATAATGTTGAGGATGTTAGATCCCCAGAACTCGATTGATTAATGCCTTATTTTGGATTTCACGTTTGCGAGCATGGGATGATCAGTTGACCTTGAGATTTCATTTCCTAGCAGGAAATGAAATCCATGGCTGTGATTGGCTGCTGTGTATTTTAGTATGCTATTTTCTTAACTGTCCCAAGGACGTTTCTATGATGTATAAATAAACGAGAGTTGTGTGTTTGATTGTATTGTGATTGCTGGGTGTTTGTAGAATATACTTTCTACGCTTGCCAAGCCTTCTGTTTACAGTTTGGGATTCAAGGTAGCCTATCTGAACTCTGGTAATTGTCTCATTCGCGTTTATCGATTAAGGTGAACTCGTAATGGCTACCTAGTGACAAACATAACAAATAAGTTTTAAAAATATTTCTGAATATCAATATTAAAAATGTAATGGTTTCAAAATTTATTCGCTTTAGTTGACCAATATTTTATCTAGTAGGTTAAGTTTAATTTAATTGACCTTCTACACAATATGATCTGAACTTATTTACTTACTAACTCACTTCCTCGACTCTGTTACTCCTGATGGAAGCTAGGCCACCGACCAGCGAATTATGTTTTTCTGGTTAGCGTATTTTCTTAGCGAGTTGGATTTCTAGGGTGTCGAATCGCCAACCTCATGCTAAACCCTCGTCCTTTATCCGGGCTTGGGATCGGTGGTACACCCTAGAAGGGCTTCAAGTGGAGTTTGATTTAAAATATCTATGCTTTTAATCAGTCGATTGAGAGTCTGAATGTCGGTCACTCAACTCCGTTTAAGTAATTCTTACAGTCAGTCAGATGCAACGTAGAACTTCGTACGTAAGTACATTAGTTCATGTTGCCATACCACATCAGCACAGAGATATAATTGTCAATTCAAATCCAATAGTAGAAGAGGTAGTAAAGGTATTAATGGTAATGAAGAAGACTAGGGTTTGACGATATTATTCAAGAAGTATAATTCAGTGAGATAAGGTTAGAAAGACAAAGGTAGAGGTGCTGATGAATCCAGAAGATTAGGATTTGAGAGAACACACAGAATAAATGCACCTGCGCCATTGCGAACAATTTTGAGCCATGTCGTTCAAGGTCTCGATTATTATCATCTCGCGGACCCCAACCAGGTAGTCGACAATTACCAACATGGCTAAGTCCACTCGTCAATGACTTCATGGATTTGTGCCATGTTTTGGTTTGGCCGCCCCTAACTTTCTTCCAACCTATTCCTACACTACAAAACAAAGCTCGTCGAGGCAGTCGGTGGTTGGGCATACGCAACACATATCCCAACCACCTCAAATGATGAAGTTTCATTACTTCATCTATTGATCTGCCATTCTTATCTAGCACCCGTTTCCTAATAACAACGTTGCTCACTCGGGTGTCCCAGGATATACGAACAATTCTTCGAAGACACCTATGATCGAAAACCAATAATCTACGAATATCTACTAAGCAATTCTTACGCAAACATTCATCTCATAATCACTTCAAATGAAGCTAACTGTTGATATTGACAATTCAGTATTCCCGCCTACAGTGTACACCGTCGAGCGAAGAATATTTTTTTATTCAGTGACTCAAATATCTATGTTTCATGTTATCCCATACTGATTGATGTACACTGTACGCATTCTTGCAATTTTGTTTCCGAACTCAACTCGTTTATTTTACCAGATACGTTACAGAACATTCACAAAGGACTATTAACTGGAACTATTCGAGGTCAATTAAATAATTTAGACATTGGTATAATTCATTTAAATGCTAATTGGTCTACATGGAATCGTTCAACAAATTATGAATTTCATTTAACAAATGTACCAAAAGAACGTAGTCAATGTTTACAAGCTTTAACAGAAATTTATCTTCCTGCTATATGGTATGCAGCAAAAGAAGTGAGTTATGATTATTATTTTTTGTCTGTGATTCATTTATTTATTGATATTACAAACAAACATTTTAATCAGTGTTTGTCAGAACAAGTAATTCTTTGAGGAAATACTCTTGATTGTGGAGAATTTTCCCTAATAGAAGTGAAATACACTTCCTGAATGGATAGATGTGTTAGGATATTCATCCAATATCCTAAGAGAATTATTTATTGGTCAATTCCTATTGGTTGATTCCTACCGATCAATTTTAAGGTCGTCCTAGATATCAATGTCACGTGCTCCAATGTTGTTTCTTATTGGTTGTCCTGACTATCGATGTCACTTCAAATGTTACTTACTATTTGTCGTCTTAACTGTCAATGTCCCAGAATTCGATGTTGTTTCCTATTCGACCAAAATGTATAAATACGCATTATCTGTAACGTTTTGTGACCAGTACCCGATCCCAGGTCCCTAGTCCGGGATCCTGATTCCCTTCTGCATTCGGACCTCGTACTTTCTGGATGCTTGTAGAATACAGGTTCTACTTCACATCCAAGTCTTCTTTTTTAACTCAATATGGGGGTTGGGGGATAATCGGATTTGAGTAGCATGTCCTGTCGCCGATTCCTCGATCCTCGCTCTCGTTTTCCGACTAAGGGGTAAACTCGTAATAGTTCAAGTATATCAAGTTGACATGTTTACGTGTAGTCGTTACAAGATGTCGATAGAGACTGATGAAAATTTCAGTCCTGAAACTCAACACCGACTTTGTTTGGATTCATAATTTTAGCGTAGATTTTAAATTTCAACTGTAAATGAATGTGGTATTGGGTACATGTTTCAGAATGTAAACAACATTTGGAATGTAGGTACATTCAACTAATTGGGTTTATAGAAAATTATCTAGAATGTTCTAAATTGTTTGTTTTTACTCAAACATCGTTTAAAACAGGTTCCAATACTGTCAATCATATATTGATTGAAATTATGTGATAAACATTCATTGTAAAAGTTCGGTTGGATTAAGGAATAAAACTTATTGGTGAAGTGAAATTTACAATATGGAAAAGTAATGAGAATACAATAGATGAGGTTTCACAAAATCCTTAGATTGATCAAAGTTACACATGAACATGGTTGAATGCTGGCTCGATGGTTTGTATGTTAAGCGTTCTTGGATTTCCGTGAGCGGGAGTCGTGGATGAGCACAGCTGATGAGTCCCATACTATGAAGAGACGGTAGTATTTCAGTGGCTTCCAGGTTTCTAATACTGGTCTAACAATGATTCATTCATGGTTTCAGTTACAAACAACAATCTCCACAACTGTGTAACGAAATATACGAACATTAAAGATATACTAGTACCAAATACACAACAAAACATTGAAATAAAATGTTTTAACGATTTTGTTAAGTACGGAAAATGGAAATGAAAGTTTTGAATAAGGTATTTTATCATTATTAAGTTATGAACAAAGTTCCTAGCTCGTTTTATTTGTCATTTAACAATGACCAATGCCAAAAACAAAAGTACACTTTCGTTCGTAAGGTAGATATAGTTTTAGAGCTATGCTCTGAAATCCATGTACCGTGATAACTTGTGGCAATCTGATCATAAGATCATTCTGTTGTTTGATATAACTTCATAACTTCATAACTTCACTTCCTCAGAGAAAGAATCGAAAGTGAAAGCGTCTATTTTTAGAAAAAACAACCCATATATTGTTCAAATATTCGTTTATTGTGGTAGAGTTTTATTCTCTAAGCTGGATATTTTGATTGTGGAGCTTTCTTCATTGTTCTCCTTCTGAACAATCTCATCATCATCATCATCATCATCATCATCATCATCATCATCATCATCATCATCATCATCATCATCATCAACTGAGCACAAACTTCAAGTTAGAAGTGAACTTCAGATGAAAGCTCCACAACCAAAAACATCCTGCTCACAAAAACAAAACTCCACCACAAACCCTGAATCATAGAATAACAGCAGTTGAATAAACTATCTGACTCTTTCTTATATTCGTTATCTTTAAAACAATATCGTACAGATGTCCAGTGCATCGAATGGTCATACAGTGATGGGTACATTGAATGGTATCACATGGGAATCAATTGGTCAATTTGCTGATGGTAGTACAATACAAATAAGTCAACGTGTATTACGTGTATTAAATTATAATAATTTAACAAAAATACTTACAAGTGAATTCAATCCCATTCAAATGACAACAGAGATTTATCTATCTGGATCATGTACATTAACATTAATTGATCATTTAAAGGCAATTACAAATCCTCAAGTGGAATTACATGATTTTCATGAAAATTTAATTCAATTAAATCCACAAAAAGGTAAGTAAATTTTGTTATTACTTACTTACTTACTCACTTTCGCCTGTTATCCATAGTGAAGCGTATGTCACTCTGATCAGCATTCACTAACATACTCTGTTCTGAGTCTTCTTGTCTAGTTCTATCCAAGTGTTCTTCATTTCTCTCGCGTTTTTGTCTCTATTTCTCGGCACAATGGCATTGAGGATTCCAGGTGAGAGCTTATCTCGAGACGCAGCTGGATGCTTTACTCAATGTGTGTTCTATCCACTTCTAGTGCTTCTTCCTGATTTCCGCCTCCACTGGAATCTGGTTGGTTCTCTCCCACAGTAGGTTGTTGCTGATGGTGTCTGGCCAACGAATACGAAGTATTTTGCGTAGACAACTGTTCATAAACACTTGTATCTTCTGGATGATGGCTTTGGTAGTTCGCCAAGTTTCCACTCCATACAGTAGAATTGTCTTGATATTTGTATTGAAAATTCTGAATTTACTGTTGATTGGTAGTTGTTTCGAGTTGCAGGCAGATATTCTTCACTTGTTGGAATGCTGACCTTTGCCGATCCGCACCTTGTTCATCAATGAGGCTACCCAAATAGTTAAAGGTTTTGACATTTCTAAAATCTACTTCAAGGGTGATTTTGTTGTGTATGTTGTGTTCTGTTGCATCGGGAGTATCTTGTTTTTCACTTTGTGTTTGTTGAAACCTAATGATGCAGTGTATTGAAAATATCATAAGGCCTAATGTAGAATCATGTCTATTCAATTCACATAGCTTCATCAACTGGTTTTTTTTCAACTCATCAGATATTCATATTTGTAAGAGATAATTGTTCACCTAATAAATTTGCATTACAAGGGTTGTGAAGATTGTTAAGTTATACATTTTTTGAAACCATGAATCGATCCATGTTAGACCACCATTAGAAACCTGAAAGCACTGGACTGCCGTTTCGTCCTGGTATGGGACTACTCCTCAGCAGTGCGCATCCAACTCCGTGAATCTGATCAAGTTAGACATTAACACCGTTAGATACCGGCTCAGTGGTCTAGTGGTTAGGGCGTTCACGCACAATACCGAAGGTCCTGAGTTCGAATCCTGCGGGGTGCAGGAGTCGTATATGCGCACTGCTGACGACTAGTCCCATACCAGGACGAAACGGCCGTCCAGTGCTTCCAGGTTTCGGATGGTGGTTTAACATTGATCGATTCATGGTTTGAAAAAATGTGCACTTAATGAGTGATATGACGTTCTTTTAACAATGTCGAGGTCATAGTGATGATGGAATAATAATCTCGAAAAAAATCATTAGAAGCTAATGAAAACTAATTGTCATTGATAAAGTACATTGTCAATTATTTCCTGATATTTTGCTTGTTTTTACTTAAGTGTATGTGTGCATTGCTTACTTCACTTATCACACACAGTCTAGCCTACTATTGCCTGACTATAAATACTTAGTCATGCCTCATTGCAGTGTGGTTAGCTCACTGGTTTTCTCCACTTCGTTTTGCTTTTACACCTTTTTATTTACATGTTAAACCATTAAAGTCGTGACCAGTGAAGGTCATCCCTGCCGGGTGTGAAGCGTTGCCCATCGAAGACAGTGGATGAAGTTGCTCAAGTCATTCAGTTGCAACGTAGAACTACGGACGTACGTACATAAGTTCATGTTACCATACCACATTAGCACAAAGACGCAGATGTCAAATCAAATCCCATAGTGATAATAATAGAAGAGGTATTAATGGTAATGAAGAAGACTAGGGTTTGAAGACATTATTCAAGAAAGTATAATTCAGTGAGATAAGTTTAGAAAGACAAAGGTAGAGGTGCTGACGAATCCAGAAGATTACGATTTGAGAGAGCTTAACGAATGGATGCACCTGCGCCATTGCAAACGATTTTGAGCCATATCGTTCAAGGTCTCTAACCATTGGTGACTTTCGTCTCGCGGACCCCAACCACGTAGTCTACATCTACCAACATGACTCAGTCCACTTGTCAGTGACTTCATGGATTTCTGCCATGTTTTGATCTGGCCGCCCCTAGCTTTCTTCCAACCTACTCTTACACCACAAAACATAGCTCGTCGAGGCAGTCGGTGGTTAGGCATACGTAACACATGTCCCAACCACCTCAACTGATGAAGTTTTACCACTTCATCTATTGATCTGCCATCCCTACCTAGTACTCGTTTCCTAACTGTAGCATTGCTTACTCGGTTGTCCGATGGTAAACGAGCAATGCTTCTTAAACATCTATGATCGAATACTAGTAACCTACGAACATCTTCTACTCTTAACGGCCATGTTACACAGCCATATAGGAGAACGGAGCGAACTGTTGCGCAGTACAGCCGTCCTTTGGTTAGCGAATGGATATCACGCCTACGCCATAAGTAACGCACGTTGGTAAAAGCCAATCGAGCTTTCTGTATCCGCGCTGAGATTTCGTCAGTCACCAGGCTATCAGCGCTGATGAGACTCCCAAGATAAGTGAAGTGATCAACACGATCGACTACTTCACTCCCTATCACTAGTTCAGGTGCCAATGCAACCCAGTCTTGAAGCTAAATTTTGCATTTCGAGGGTGAGAACCGCATCCCGAACATGCTTGCATTGTTGCTTATGGTAGTCAGAAGACTCTGCATTTTGTCAGCGTCTTCACCGAAGTTGCTGAAGAAGGTGGATTTATCAAAGTTTGACATTAACATTGTCAGATGCAGGATCAGTTCACACGCGAGACCGAAGGTCATAAACTTGATTCACGTGGGCCGGAGTCGTAGATGTGCACTTCTGATGTGTCACAAACTTGGACGAAACGACCATCCAGCGCTTCTTTTAAGTGTACTCGACAACGCATTCTTCATAATCTTAAATCTCACATTGTATATTCCTTTTTTTACTGAAGATTAATTCTTTATTTCACAATAATTATTCTTTCTTACATTTAAGGCAGTTTACATAGTCATTCATCAAGAGCATTTACAGTATATAATTTAGATAGAGAAAAATCACAAATGGAACCATATTCATGGATTTCAACAATTCAAATTGGTCCAGAGCGAAGACAAACTTATTTAACTCAAGAATTACATGTGAATAATGTAGAGAATAATGCAAATCTAGAAACTGGACAAATTGAATTTCTTGCTGAAAGTATCATGAAAAAACCATTGGGTCCTGAAGTTTGTCCATCTGGTTTTGAATTAAATCAAGCTAGAATTACTGGAACAAATAGTATAAAATTACAAAGAAGACGAGATTATTGTAAAGGTAATTAGTATGATGTTGAATATTACGGTTTTTTTTGTTTTTTACTTTTCTTATCATCTTATAACATTGAACAATATATATCATGTAATTTGTGCGTTCAATATTCAATGTCTACTTTAAGGTTTGCTTAAAAAAAATTGTTTCATTGAACATTGATAGTTGTTGAATAATTAAAACAAAATTTCATCGTTTATGGAAGAAATAAATACAAAATGATTGAACATGAAAAAAATTTAACGCGAAAATAACTGATTAATTGCGTAATCATAACAAATTTACGCTATCGATCTCCGTCTACCTTATTTGAATTTGACTTAAGAGAGAGTAAGTTGTTTAAATTTAGAGGAAAAAATATTTTTCTTTATGAACCATAATAATGAACATATATCATGTAATTTGTGCGTTCAATGTCCAATGTCTGCTTTAAGGTTTTCTTAAAAATTGTTTCATTGAACATTGATAGTTGTTGAATAATTAAAACAAAATTTTATAGTTTATCGAAGATATGATCAAATGATTGGACATGAAAAACTTTAACGCCAAAATAACTGATTAATTGCGCGATCAGTCTTCGCCTATCTTATTTGGATTTGACTTAAGGGGAAGTAAGTTGCTGAAATTTAGAGGAAAATAGTATTTTTTATCCTGAAGTAGTTAAAACCACTTACATATGTACTTACCTACTTACGACTGTTACCTTGAGTCGAGCATTTGCAGTGGACAAGTATTATCCAACTTACTCTGTCCTCACGTCTGTTTTCATTCCTCAGCGTAATGTGTTCCTTGGCCTTCCTCTTTTCCGTTGACCTTGAGAGTGCCAAATTAGGAATCGCCTTGTGGCTCAGTCGGGTGCTTTCCACAATCTGTGTCCTATCCACATCCACCAGCGCTTCTTTCTGATTTTTTTCCTCCACTGGAATCTGGTTTTTTCTCTCCAACAGTAGATTATTGTTACGCCTGCACGTAAACACGTCAACCTGATACACTTGAACTATTACGAGTTTACCCCTTAGTCGGAAAACGAGAAAGAGGATCCGGTGACACGACATGCTACTCAAATCCGATTATCCCAACCCCCATATTAAGTAAAAATAAGAAGACTTGATGTGAAGTAGAACATGTATTCTACAAGCATTCAGAAATTACGAGGTCCGAATCCAGAAGAGAATCAGGATCCCGGACTAGTGATCCGAGACCGAGCCCTGGTCCTGGTCATAAAACGTTATAGATCATGCGTATTTATACATTTAGTTTGAATAGGAAACAGCATTGACTTCTGTGGCATTGCCAGTTAAGATGACCAATAGGAAGTAACATTTGAAGTGACATTGATAGTCAGGATGACCAATAAGAGACAACCTTGAAGTATTTGACTTTGACAGTTAAAACGACCATAATTTTGACCAACAGAAATCGACCAATAGCAACTGACCAATAATTCTCTTACGTTATTGGATGAATATCCTACTAGTTATGTTTGATGGTGTCTGGCTAACGGAAGTTGAAACCATAAATACATATTTTTTCAAGTTACTTTCATCATTTCCCTGCTGTGTTTTATTTTCTTACAGATATTGATGAATGTGCTTTTCAAAATTTAAATAAATGTGATCATATTTGTAAAAACACTGTACCATATTATACATGTACATGTCATCAAGGTTATCGTCTATCGGTTGATGGACATTCTTGTATTGATATTGATGAATGCGCTATTATTAATGGTAGTAGTAGTAATAATAGTAATAATAATGAAACTTTATGCCCATATGGACAACGATGTATGAATACACATGGAAGTTATGAATGTAAACATATTTGTGGACCTGGTTTAAAAGAAAATCCTATAATGGATCGTTGTGAAGGTAATTATGATTGTGATTATTGATGAATGTGTTATATGATGAGTTGATTTACAATAAATCAGTCAGCTGAATGAATTTGGAAATAATTAATAATTTGGATTAATTAGGTAGTATTTCTGTGAATACTATGTTAATTGGTCCTGGTATGACTAACTGTAGGTGCTACATTGAAGTGGTGGTCGTGATAACCTAACTGAACTACATCGGTTGCAATATATGTTTCTGAAGGTTCTACTATGACGGGAAGCCTGAGGGCGAAGTCATACTAGTGACTGTAGAGGGATGTGACAGCAGTGAGGAGTTTCCCTTGGACAACCAGCATCTGCAGCGATGCTGACTTCTCAGAAGGAAGGAGGAGATTCGGAAAGCTCGACCATAAGAATTTTAAATCTCAACTTACTTCACAGATTTCTGTCTCTGGCGTTAAGGCCTTTTAACCGAGAGCGGAGCTAACACTTTAAAAACTTCAGATAAAAAGTCCGTGTGTGACCGGCCTCAAGCAGTTGTCCCTTGGGCTCCGCGGTCACGCTCCTAGTTCTCTAAAACCAACAGTAGTTTATCTTTCCAGTTTCCTGAGGAAACACTCTTCCATTGTGTGGGCAACCGTGAAGTAACATTCTCCCTCATAACAGAATCTGCAGCGATGCTGACTTCTCACAATGGAGGTTGGGGGTTAGGAAAAGTTGATCTTCACAATGTCACACTTTACCTTACCGCACAGAATTCCCTCTCCATAAGTAAGGCCTTTTTGAAGAGCAGAATTAACACTTTACAGACTTCCCCTTAAAAATCCTTGCACAACCGGCTTCAAGCGGTTGTCCTTTAGACTCTGCAGTCACTCTCCCAAATTACTAAGACCAATACTAATGCCACTTGCTTTATAGGTTCGTTATCAAACACCTTTCCACAATGTGGCCAGCCGAGAAACCTCATCCAAACACATACTCATAACAGCCCACAAGATTCAACTTGCTCACAATCAAATTATAACCAATCGTACATATGTTTTTAATATGCTTGATTTATTGAATTCGAGCTAATTATTACGCTTTTTTCTAATAATGAAAATCACGATGAATACCGTTAAATTAACAACTGATAAAAAAATTATAATACGTTAACTACATCGAATACTATTGAAAATATGCCTAATGTTTTCAATACACCATATTGATCTGAATATAGGTGATGTATTTGCGCTATATACATATTTCGAGCAATCTAGTTAAACATGTACACACACGTGTCAATGCATTTTACGTGAGAATTAGTAAAAACGTCAATTACATAGAAGTTCAAATAAACATGAGGTGAAAATTGTAACAATGAAGTTGAGAGAGAGAGAGAGAGAAAAGGAACATAATATAGACTGAAGATCTGGTTTCAAATCCTGTGAGTAGCAGGAGTCATGGATCCACTCTGCTGATGAGTATGTTATGTATTATAAAGAATAGGGAATATTTCCATATTACCCTTAGGCTATAAAATAACAGAGGTGACTAGGGTAAATTGTTTATGTATACAATAAGAGGGATTTGGATTCACAAATAGCCAACGTTACTGTTTCAGTTTGCGTCGTCGAAAGAACTTGTATGTTACCTACGATATGAATTAGATGCAGTAATATATATATATATATATATATATATATATATATATATATATATATATATATATATATATATATATCGTTTGCATTAGCGGTGCAGTGAGAAAAGGGACTGTGAGTGGAGTTCACTGTGGAGAGAAGAGAGGTATTTAAGGGTGTAGGAAGGATTTGATTTCGACCAATTTGGTCTCGTGTGTTGTTACGGGTATGAGGGCGGTTGTCACTTCCCGGCTGTCCTTACCGTGGAAGGTTGTTTCTTGAGGGACCTGAAAAGGAAGATAGATTATTGTTGGTCGTGGAGACCTGGGAGCGTGACCGCAGAGCCCAAGGGACCTAATTTTCATTCTATATTTGTGTACTTAATTGATTTTACATTGAAGTCATCAACAAATCATTGTTAGACCATCATCAGTAACCTGGAGGCACTGAACGCCCGTTTCGTCCTGGTATGAGACTCTTCAGCAGTGCGCATCCACCATTCCCAAAATATTTCTTACAGGCATGTTTAGGTAATTAATTTGTTTTACATTGAAATCGTCAATCAATCATCGTAAGGCCACCACCGAAGGCCTGTATTTCAATATAAAACAACTCTATGATGAAAAAAATCATAAAATGTGCTCACTCGTGATTAGCTTTGTGAGGAAATTCTCCGATTTCTAGTAAAAAATCATGTCAGGTGTATGCATAACTACCGAAGACATTTTGTGAGGTTACGTGATATCTTGAATTGATCAAAAGTTAGACATTAACACCGTTGGATACCACCAGCTCAGTGGTCTAGGCGGTTAAACGTTCATACATTAGACCGAAGGTCAGGGTTCGAATCGCTCAACTAGCAGGAGTCTTGGATACACACTGCTTATGATTCCCATACTATCATGAGACGGTCATCTTTTATTACTTCCTGGTTTCGAATGGTGTTCTAACAATGATCGATTCATGATTTCAATGTAAAAACATCAATCTTGATAACTGTACAATGAAAAATTCGTTTGTTTTACTTAATCAAACGAAAAAGATATTAATTCCTGTTAAGTATTTGGTTAAAATCCATATTGGTATAAACGTTTTTTTTTTAAAACAGAAGATTCTTATCTATTGGCAATTTTTAATGTTAAATTGTATTTATTTAATCCCATTATAAATGATATCTTTGTGGGTTTTTTTTACACTATACGCTAAAATTACAAAATAAACAGATATTGATGAATGTCAAACGGAACCGGGTATTTGTGGACTACATAAATGTGTGAATACATTCGGTGGCTATCAATGTGTATGTTTACCGGGTTACAAACGAATTGGTGAATTATGTCAAGGTATGATAATGTATGATGAATTTTTAAATAATAATCAATGTGTGTGTGTGTTGTGTTTATCAATGTGATAGCCGATTGGTCAATCAAATGTGATTGATTTGACGAATGAAATCGACTTAAAGTTTAAATTCGATGAGTTTAGGCTGTTTTTCAGTATAGATCTATGCTACAGGGACAGGATACCTCAATAGTCAGTCAGTCAGATGCAACGTAGAACTTTGTACGTAAGTACATCAGTTCATGTCGCCATACCACATCAGCACAGAGATGTAATTGTCAATTCAAATCCAATAGTAGAAGAGGTAGTAAAGGTATTAGGAGTAATCGGAGAGGTTGGGATTTGAAGATATTATTCAAGAAGTATGATTCAGTGAGAAAGAAGTCGAAGAAAGCTAGGGGCGGCCAAACCAAAACATGGCACAAATCAATGAAGTCACTGACAAGTGGACTGAGTCATATTGGTAGATGTAGACTACCTGGTTGGGGTCCGCGAGATGATAATGATCGATGGTTAGAGACCCTGAATGATATGGCTCAAAATCGTTTGCAATGGCGCAAGTACATCCATTCTTTGAGCTCTCTCAAATCCTAATCTTCTGGATTCGTCAGCACCTCTACCTTTGTCTTTCTAACCGTTTTTCACCTAATTATACTTCTTGAATAATATCTCCGAACCCTAGTCTTCTTCATTACCATTAATACCATTACTATCTTTATCACTACGGGATTTGATTTGACATTTGCGTCTTTGTGTGCTAATGTGGTATGGCAACATGAACTTATGTACATACGTACCCAGTTCTATGTTGCAACTGACTAACTGACTGACTGATTATCCTGTAAACCTAACTCAGTTAAAATCAAATTAAAATACATCTAGATTTAATTATCGATAGTAGGATTCATGTTAATGAGTTATTTTGTCAAATAATCGACTAGATATGACTGCCATTTTGAACGTCTTTGAAATTTGTTTAAAATGTTGTATAACTTACGTTGTAGTGTCTCCGCATACATTTGAGTTCGTTCATACTGAATTTGGTTAAGCCTTTCGATTAACGTATTTAACCAAGACATTGATATTGCCACAACTTATATGTCCCATTGGCTGGTTTGTGTGACCTGGTATGCCTAAACATTGCTTGCCACATATGCGAATATTCATCCTACTCGCTCTAATGTTAATCTCTTAAATATCTAGATGACTCAGCCATTTTTCTATGTGTATATATGTACATTTTGATCTTATTCATTCATTCACCGATTCGCCGATTCGCTCACTCGCTCCGTAGCGTGCTTTCCCTTCTTTGTGTGTTTGTGGTTTGCGGGTCCATTTGTGGTGTAACTTCAGCCTTTGGTTGGTTTGCGTCTATCCAGGAGGTACCTTGTGTGCTGGGTGCTGACTCAGTAAGCACATAGAATGAATGCACTTACATGCGATATACGAATAAATAGATTGCAACCAGATATAAAACAAGCGTGAGATTAAGACAAACTGATAAACGAAACTAAGAGTTGATAGAGTTAGGTTTCGAATGCGTTACAGTGGTATGCTAAAAATAACCGTATTCAACACTTGGTATTCATTCACCTTCTGATTTATAAACCATTAGGCGCTATTTAATAACGATTGTCTGGACGAGTAGCATAAGAAGCCTAAGAACACGTTGAATACCGATCGTCACGAAACTAGTGACGTTACGATGTGATAATCTTTTAGATAATTAGGAAATACGATAAGTATTTTCTGCCAGTACAAACAATTTCGATTAGATCTAAAAGACATTTCGATGATCCCATAAAAATACCTTACGAAAATCCCAATTGTTTAATTACAGATATTGACGAATGTCAATCTGGAACTTATCATTGTGGTGTCAATGAACGTTGTATGAATATACCAGGCAGTTATCGTTGTCAACCAGCATGTCCACAAGGATATCGTGCAATTGGTACAGTGGATTCAAATATTATTGAATGTATTGATATTGATGAATGTATCATGGGCAGCGTTCATTGTCCATTTGGATCTAGATGTATCAATGAACCTGGAACGTATAGTTGTCGTTGTGCTAATGGTCAAGAAGCTGGAACTCATGGATGTGATAGTAGTAGGTTAAAATGGTGTTTGATTAAATTATTTTTGTTCAATAAAATTTCATTATTTTGAAAATGGATTTATGGTTATATGTATAAATTGTGCAAATAAAACTATTTTGTTTAAATCATTCTGGTTGTAAATTTTCAATTTTTTCGCTAAAGTAATTTACGCATGGTTTTCTGTAAGAAGCTATTCAGTGAGAGTTACATGATTTAGTGAAATCGAAATTGAAATGCTATCGTCAATATACATGGTCGGATGATGAACTTACTTATTTTCTGGTTAGCCTTCTTCTAGTTGTAGTGAAGGAGAACACAGGTGGGGCAACCGAATTGTATTTAACGAAAATTACAGAGTTACTCAGTAAAATCGGAAAACCATATCGTAAATCGTTCATTTGCAAAATAACAGTTCATCATATCGAACTAGACTGTTCCTGTTACAAAACATCAATCCATTGTCACTATTCATGCGTTTCATAAAAAATTCCATTGTCTTCTAACTCTTCCTTTCTTGATCTTCCCCCATCTTCGGCTGCCAGACATTACGTTGACGCTCACGTCATATACTACTTATAAGTAGCTCGCACCACGTAGTGAGTTAGTTTTCTACGGAATGATGTTGTTAATCCCATGCCCAACCCTTCTACTTTATCTAAGCTTGGGACCGGCATTAGTCCTAGAGGGGCTCCAGGTGGAGTTAAAAGAATGAATATTGATCGCAAAATTTAAATAATCGCATTGTGATTTTTGACAGAGGTTAGCGGCTGAATTTTCAATGTTAACTAAGTGATTTCTTCCCTACATTTTCGGCTGCTTTTCTGTTCATTTAATGGGTGTATGTTACATATTGGAATGTAGTATTTCTGAATGGATTTAATTTTAAGCATTTGTAGAGTTATCTATTATTCTGGACTCGGACCTCGTACTTTCTGAATGCTTTCAGAATATATGTTCTACTTCATATCAAGTCTTCTTCTTTTTACTCAATATGGAGGTTGAGACACTCGGATTAGAGTAGCATGTCGTGTCACCGGATCCTCGATCCTCGCTCTCGTTTTCCGACTATAGTAAACTTGTAATAATTCAAGCATATCCAAATGACATGTTGACGTGCATTCGTAACATCTATAAATCTCGGGTGTGAAAGTGTTATTACATCACACTTGAGTATAACAGATGAAAAGCTAAACTTTACTGAAATATTATACCCTGAAAGACAGTGATTTTACTTACACTGGTCTGCAAGTTAGATAATCATCAATCAGGCTTTCAAAGTATCACTTGAACAAGCTAGCTTCATTCTGTGAGGCAATCAACCATACAAGGTCTAAATATCCTGATAGAATAAAATACAATGAAAGTTAGGGTTAGTAAAAATTACGCTCTATGATAGAGTACTCACTAATTAAATGAACGAGAAAAATTGCCTCTAACCACCGAACTGAATCTTGTTCACATATCATACTACTAACAAACATACATAGTTCGTTCTATTTTTACTATCCAAACTTATTTTTATTGTCTGAAGTAATGACTTAGACTTATTGGAGGCTTCACAGTGATATGTAGTCTTTCAACTGGTTTTCGAACATTTTCACAGCGTTTTTGAAGATTTTTTTGAAAAAATTAAAAAGAATACTATTTTTTTAAATTAAAGTCGTCTTTAACAATCACTTTTAAACAATTGCAACGTATATGCCTTGAATAACCTTGTAAACAAATTATTTGTGGTTAATTGATTTACAGAATTTAATATATATATATATATATATATATATATATATATATATATATATATATATATATATATATATATATGAGATTTACACATTTTGAAACCATAAATCGATCAATGTTAGACCACCATTAGAAACCTGGAAGCACTGAACGGCCGTTTCATCCTGGTGTGATACTCTTCAGCAGTGCGCATGCACGACTCACGCATCCCACAGGATTCGAACCCTGGACTTTCGGTACTGTGCGCGGACGCCTAACCATCAGACCACTGGGCCGGCATCCAGGACGAAACGGCCGTCTTTCAGTGCTTCCAGGTTTATAATGGTGGTCTAACATTGATCGATTCATGGTTTCAAAAATGTATAACTTAACAATCTTCACAATCCCGTAATACAATAAAATGCAATTCTTAAAAATTGATTTTTGATTGCATTTTTCAATCAGTTGATCAAAAAAAATGAATGAATGAACTAATCGGAGTTCACTGAACCAAAAATATGTTTGCGCAAAACGAATTTCATTTGCAGATATCAAACTTACATTAGTTTCACGTGTTGACGGAACCATGGCACTTGCTGGTGTTCCTCTTGTATATGGATTTTCCCCAAGTTCTTATCAAATACAAATTAAAGGATGATTTATCAATGAAAAACGTTTATGAAGGAGTCTTCGATATTCATATCTGTCGTTTAATTTTACTTGATTCTGAGTTGATATTAATCGAAGTATAATGACATTTTAAGGATCATAAAAAAAATTTAAAAAAACACTGTGGTTATTTTAAAACAACCCTGTTTAAAATTTAAAAAACGCGACAATCTATTCAGTGTTCAATTCGTTTTGAAACGATCAAGTCAAACGTTGAATAATGACACTTACAAAATCAATAAATCATTTTGATTACTGATTGGAAAAAGTATGATTTTTATCTACACCAAATAATCTTTTTTAATTTTTTTTTTAGATCGACGTGATTTATTCTGTAATGAAGGATTTCAATGGAATCGAGAAAAAGGGTGTATAGGTAAAAATTTTGACGATAAATATTCATTATTTATGTGCTTTTTGGAAGCTTTTCAAATTTGAATACAAACTATTTGTGTGCTTCGCAATTTCATTTAATGGCCAATTCATGTTCCTGTGTTTGACCAATCAGCTTTGCTGATGATTATGATTGAAGATTTTGTGTGAAGCGTTTTTACGTAACTTACTTTACTTTTGCCTGTTAATTCTACTGAGTCGCCAAACAACATTCTCCAACCAATTCTGTGCTGGACTTGTCTTTCCAGTTCTACCCTAATGTTACTTATTCTTTTTGTGACTGCTTACAAATTCCGGATTAGTGTGTTCTTTGGTCTACCTCTTTTCCTTTGGAATTGAGCATTCCAGATTAGGCATTCCTCGTGATACAGTTAGCAGATTTCGGCAAAGTATGTGTGTGATCCACTTCTAGAGCTTTTTCTTAATTTCTTCATCAGCTAGAATTTGATTTATTCTCTCCCACAGTAGGTAGTTACTGATGGTGTCTGGCCATTGGTATCTTGCATAAAGAACTGTTAATAAATACTTGTAACTTGTGGCGTTGTCCGTTCCAAGAGTTTTTACGTTAAGCTAAATAATAATGTTCAAAGTTCATGGCTAATGAGAATAATAAGCTGATTGTGTATATGGTTACTATATGGAATCGAATCCAGGACGTTTGAAATAATGAGCGAATGCTTAACATTTAGATCACTTAGCCTGCATCCAACAGTGTTAATGTCTAAATTTTGATCAATCCAAGGTTTTGTGCAACTTCACCCAACGGTGACTGATTCAGGATTTCAATGTAAGACAACAATCTGCATTACAGTATGATGAAAAATCATAGAATATGCTCATTTTAGACTCGCATCGTGAGAAAACTCGGAGTTTTAATAAAATTTCATAACCAGTGCGGTTCAACCCTGTCAGATATAGACAGTAACTACCGAAGGCAATCTGTAAGATTGACCGATACAATGGAATGACAAAAACTCAGACAGTAACATCGTTGGATGCCAGCTCAGTGGTCTAGAGGTTAAGCGATCGCACACCAAACTGAAGGTTCTTGGTCGGGTCCCAACAAGTGTGGGTCGTGTATGTGCACTGTTGAAGAGTCGCATACTAGGACAAAACGACCTTTCTCTCAGTGCCTCCATGTTTCCGATATTGGTCCATGATTTCAATGTAAAACAGCAATCCCTACAACGCTATAATGAAAGTATCAATGTTTATTCAGTTATGACACATGCTTACTTACTTACTTACGCCTGTTACCCCCAATGGAGCATAGGCCGCCCACCACTTTTCTCCAACCAACTCTGTTCTGGGCTTCTCTTTCCAGTTCTGTCCAATGTTTGTTCATTCCACTTATATCTTTCTCTATTTCTCTGCGTAATGTGCGTAATGTTACCTGATCTTCCTCTTTTCCTTTTGCCTTGAGAGTTCCATGTGAGGGCTTGTCTCGTGACGCAGTTAGGTGCTTTTCATAGTGTGTGTCCTATCCACTTCCACCGCTTCTTCCTGATTTCCACCTCCACTGGAATCTGGTTTGTTCTCTCCTACAGTAGATTGTTGCTGATCGTTTCTGCCCAACAAATCCTCAGTATTTTGCGTAGACAACTGTTCATAAACACTTGTATCTTCTGGATGATGCCTTTCGTAGTTCTCCAATTTTCCGCTCCATACAGTAGAACTGTTTTGACATTTGTATTGAAAATCCTGATTTTGGTTTTGGTTGAAAGTTGTTTGGAGTTCCAGATATATTTCAGTTGTAGAAATGCAGCCCCTGCTTTGCCAATCCGTGCCCTCACATCTGCATCGGGTCCACCTTTCTCGTCGATGATGCTGCCCAGATATTTAAAGGTGTTAACGTCCTGCAAGGCATCTCGATTAAGAGTGATTTGGTTGGTGCATGTTGTGTTGCATCGGAGAATTTTGCTTTTCCCTTTATGCATGTAGAGACCTACTGCTGCAGAGGCTGCTGCTACACTTGTCATCTTCTCTTGCATTTGTTGTTGCGTGTGTGATAGAAGAGTCAGGTCATCTGAGAAGTCCAGATCGTCCAGCTGCATCCTAGTTGTCCACTGGATACCGTGCCTCCCTTCAGATACTGACGTCTTCATAATCCAGTCGATTGATGACCAGGAGAAAGAGAAAGGGTGAGAATAAGCAACCTTGCCCGACACCGGTCTTCACCCCGAAACAGTCTGCTAGCTGTCCTTCATGTACGATTTCGCAGTTCATAACACATACTTCATATCATTAATATTTCCACATATAAAATATACATTTTCAAATATTTCATGATATATATATGTGAATATATATATGAATTCGTTTTCTCTGTTTTTTTGTTTGTACATTTATACTACTCAATCTGCAGATATTGATGAATGTAATCCATCATATGGTACAAGTCCATGTCAATATAATTGTATCAATACTTATGGTGCATATCGTTGTGAATGTCCAATTGGTTATGAATTAGATCGTAAAACAAATTTATGTCGAGGTAAGTCAATTAAATAATTATATATATATGAGATATTTTCAGTTTGAAAAGATTAAAACACTTACTTATCTACTTACTTTCTTTTGCCTGTTACCCCACAATGAAGCCGTAGGCCACCGACCAGTATTCTCCAGTCTACTCTGTCCTGATCTACCCTTTCTATTTCTGTTCAATTGTTGATCATTCTTCTCATTTCTGTCTCCATTTCTCAGCTTCATGTGATTTACGGTGTTTTTCTTCGCCTTTGACTTAGAGAGTTCCGAATAAGGGCTTGTCTTTTGACTCAGTCTAGTGCTTTCCTCAATGTGTGTCCTATTTACTTCCAGAGCTTCTTCCTAATTTCCTCCTGCGCCAGAATCTGGTTTATTCTCTCCTACAGCAGGTTGTTGTTGATGGTGTCTGACAAACAGATCATCAATATTTTGCGTATACGACTGTTAATAAACATTTTTATCTTCTGGATGATAACTTTGGTAGTTCTCTAGGTTTCCGACACATACAGTAGAACTGTTAGGACTTGTTTATTGAAAATTCTGACTTTGGTGTTTGTCAATAGTTGACATTTGAGTTCCAGATGTTCTACAGTTATAGAAATGCTGCTCTTGATTTGCCAAAGCATGCCTTCACATTTGCATCAGACCCACCTTGTTTGTCAATGACGCTACCCAGATATGTAAAGGCTATAACGTCCTCCAAGGCATCTCTATCAAGAGTGACTTAGTTGGCGCATGTTGCGTTGTGTCAGAGAATCTTACTTTTCCCTTGAGACCTGCTGTTGCTAAGGCTGCTGCTACACTGGTCTTCTTCTCTTGCATTTGTTGTTGCGTGTGCAACAGAAGAGCCAGATCACATGCGCAGTCCAGATGGTCCAGCTGCATCCTAGTTGTCCACAGGATAACGTGCTTCCCTCCAGATGTTGACTCTCTTCATAATCCAGTCGATCAGCAGGAAAAAGAGTCAGGGTGAGGATAAACAACCTTGCCTGACGCCGGTCTTCACCTCGAAAGAGTCTGTTAGCTGTCCTTCGTGTACGATTTTGCAGTTGAATTCATCATAAGAATTCCTCATGATGTTAACTATTTTCTCAGGCACACCGTAGTGTCGAAGTAAAAGAGAAAGTAACTCTTTCAAAATTAATTATCTTTTCTTAAGCTAAAGATCAAACAAATTTTAACTGTTGTCACTTAGTAAGAAAACATGACTGATTCGAATATATCACTTCAAGTCTATTCATTTTCGAAGGGTTCGAGTCTTGCGAGTAGCAGGAGTCGTGGATATGCACTGTTGTGAGTTCCATGCTAAGACAACAGGGGCTTTCAGGTTTCAAGTTAAGACTTACCTTGTGCCTCAACTGGATGCATTCCGAAATGTGTGTTCTACCTAGCTTCAGCATTTCTTCCCAATTACTGATTCAACTGGAAGAATCTGCTTTATTCTCTCCCAAAGTAGGTTGTTCTTGATGATGTATTGCCAACACATCTGACCTATCTTGCGTAGACAACTATTAATAAACTTTGATGTTGATTTATAGT